GGGGGGGGGGGGGTCGAACCGGCGCCGACGACGCCAGCGATGCTCGGTGTCGGCGTTGTTGAAATGCGGGATTGCGAAACGCCGGGCAACGAGACGAAGAGACACCCTCTCGCGCCCTCCTCTCCTCGTATCTTCATCTCATGTCGTCCTCTCTCCGTACGTTCCGTACGCCCGCTATCCACCCCGCGCTTCTATTCCCATCCCTTTCGCACCCCGCGCCTCGTTGCACACACTGGGTCGCTCGGGGGGAAAACGCCGAAGTAGGGCGCACCCTTCTTCCGCTCTCGCGCGACAGGGTGACCGAAAGCACTCGAAACGACCACAGGCAGGACGTCGAGGCCGGTTTTTTCACTTAAGGGTGGACACCCCTAGCCTCGTGTTCCCTCGTGCTAATAGTCTGCGGACCATATGCGAATGAAATCATTCCCGAGGAATCGTCTGCTTTCGAAGCAACGGGATTTTTATTTGAAAGAAAGAACGTCAGAACGAGATTCGACACGGTCAAGATTCGGAAACCATGGAAGGAAGAGAGCATTGAATGAAATTTCCGTCAAGGGTAAACTTGTCCCGAAATCCGACGAAGGAGACGGCTTCGCTCTCGTTGTTCGAGCATTTTGCAACACCCGGTATGCCGGGTGCACACACATAGGAACACCACTATTCGAGTCTGCGCCACCTCCCTCGCACCCCGCGGCAGCGACGCGCGTACGTTCTCCGGCGTCCCGACATCCACCCTCTCTCTCTCTCTTCCTCCCGCTCTTTCTCTCGTTACCACTCTCCCCTTCTCTTCCCCGCGCTACCTACGGCTACTCTCCCTGTAACAAACCCCCACTTCCATTCCCCGGCGGCGGTCGGCTCGTGCGCTCTCCACGGCGAGTCGAATCGGGAGCGTTTCCATCCCCTACCAGCGGCAACGAGCAACCCCACCCTGGTCGCGAGGGGGGAAATCTTCTACCCCTAAACGGAGTATGACGGGGGGGGGGATGCGCGCATATCGTAGTCGTCGCTATACTCGCCATTCTGCCACCCTCCACTCCTCGCCTCGTAGAGCGCCTCGGCGCTTCGCGTCTCTTTATCCTCGGGAACTTCCACCCCTCGCTTCCCACCCTCGCGCCCGATCTCGCCCCCGAATCCCGCACTCTCGACATATCGAATGCTACGTCACAGCGGGGAGATATACGGCTATTTCGCAAAGTGGTTAAATGCACTGCCAGATTACGGGACGGAGGGCGGTTCTGGCGCCCGGCACCGACTGCGATATCGGCCATCGGCTACATCGTAGAATTCCGCTATAGAATTCCGCCGTCCGCACCGGCCAGCGATTAAGGAGCCCCCAAGGTCCCGTATTCCGGTCGCATATTCGGCGCTAAACGGCGCGTCCACCCCCGACCCTCGCCGCTGAGACGCGACCTCCTCTTGTCGGACAAATAAGCGGCGATTCCTCGGACGTCGATTAATTCTAACGGTAATTCAATCGTTTCCCCGCGGCCCTCTTGTAGATCGGACGTTTCACGAAGAGACGAGAGAAACCGTCGAGCGGCGGTTAAAAGTGGACTGTCCGATTTCGGCAGTGCGAGAAATCGGGATATTTTCGGAAGGCTACGATGATGGACACACATCCCTCACTATTTACCGTAATTGAAAATATTCTCTCATGTTCCTCTCTCTCTCAGTTCGGATAACACGTCGTCGAGTTAACAAACGTCGTGAGGACCGACCCAAGAACTCAACCCCCGATGGCCACACTTAGTGCTAAATGTGGCGGTAGATAGAGGCGAGAATATATGGGCCGAAGTATTTTTCGTTTCTTTATTTCGTCGTCTTCTTCCAACATCTTTGTATCTCTCTCTCTCTCTCTCTCTCTTTCTTTCTTCTCGTCGCTATCGTCGCATTGTCGTCGCCTATATATTCGAGCCAGGGGGCTGTGTGTGTGGCATACGGACTCCCTCGACCGTACGAATCTCTCTCTCTTTCCCCTCGTTCTCCGCTCTTTCCTCCCCGTTTCCAAAGCCTCGACCCTGCAAACGACTCGTGGGAAAATAATTCAGAAAATGAGAGACCCACGACTCGTGGAAAGATGGGATCCGGGTGGGAAAGTGTGAGGGAAAGAGAGACGGCTGGATTTGGCTACGCAGTGAGAAGAATGACACGTTGGCAGTAGTGGACGAGGTGGAGGTGTGACTCGTAGTCATGTATAAATTCTCCCTGGAGGACCTCTTAGACCTAATTGGCCGTCCAAATCGATATCTGCCCGTCCGTTGTCGGCAAAATTGCGACGCTAGGTCTCTCTTTCTCTCTCTCTTTCTCTTTCTCCCTCTCATTCTGCCTTTCTCTCTTTCTCTCTCTCTCTCTCTCCCTTTCACAAGAAAGAAAGAAAAAGGACAATTCAAAGTGACGGGAAAATAAATCTTACGGGATTGGTCTGGAAGAGAGTCGTTGCGCTTTCTTTCGTCGTTTCATTTGGCGTTTTATGAAAATAAATACACTCGCGGACGCGCGCGCGCGCGCTCGTTTCTGTTGATTTAAAATATAGCGGTTGAAATTGATGTAAACAATTTGAATTGCTAGGGATGCCGGTAAGACGGCTACGCGAGGATGAAGACGTCTCTCTCTCTCTCTCTCTCTCTCTCTCTGCGAACTCAATCTGCAAACAGGAAGAACAAAGACAAATCCTGATTATATCCTACAATGTGCAATCTACTAATTTCGCGCATGATATACTAATATCACGGAGAGAGAATCGAGGCAAATTAAATTTTAATGTCAATATTAACGTAATGCTCTGCAATCACACACAATAAGAGAAAAATATAAAAGAAATCTCTACGCAGAGAGAGAGAGAGAGAGAGAGAGAGAGAGAGAAAAGAAATAGTTTTAAATCAACAATAGATATTCTCAAAATAATTATGTTTTTTCCATCAAATGATATGATTTACTTTAATGAAACAACATTTCCATTCAAATAAAGCTGTATTTGATATTAAATTATGTATTAATTTGATATTAAATTATATTGTTTAAATTAAACAAATCCAAATTGAACAAATATTAAATCCAAAGAAACCTTTCTTTCTGTGTCTGAAATTGAGTGCGAATAATACTTGCATCGATATAAATTCAGTCAAATCAAGACTAAAAATCTTCTAAGAAAATTATAATAGTTTTGCATATGTATGAAAATATATAACTTTCATTAATATAAGACTAATTTTTTTTCCGAAAAAATTACACATCCTCCCTACATAAAAATCGATAAACTCCATAGATTGCATTAATCGCCACAAGAATGTCACATTAGCGAGAGAGTGTGTACACAGAGAAAAAGGTTTCTTTGGATTTAATATACGTGTTTATTTGACGTGTTTGTTTGACTTGGGTTTGTTTAGTGTAAATAGCATAATTTAATATCAAATATAATTGTGTTTGAATGAAAATGTTGTTTCACTAAAGCAACTCAAGTTGTTCAATGGAAAAAAAAACAGTATTATTTTGAGAAAATAATATTTGGTTTCCAATAAAAAAAATTGTATTTAAATTATTTATTAAATATTGTTCCATCGAAACAAACAAAGTTCTTTAATATTTTTCACGTATTTTGCTATTTCTTCTAAATAATTTACTGCTTGTGACAACCATTGTAATATTTGGATAATAATATAGAAAAAATGTTATTTAACGTAAAGTGTGCCTATTTATTATTGGAGAAACCAAACAATCCTGTTTGTTGAGTCGAATATTCATTTGTTTGCTGTATTTCAAAGGACAAATTTGTTTTAACTTTTCGACCCCTATGCTGATTTCTCAAATGTAAGTTCCCAAATGGGACGAGCAGCTGACTTCAAAAAATTTCCCGTGTAATAGCAAGTTTGGTATTAAAAATTATATTAAAATATAGTAAATATACATACATCAATGCATAAATATAATACAATGTTTATTTTTATTTATAAAAATCAGGAATCAGTTAGGAAAATTCATAAAAATGATCAAGATGGTCTGGCAGAATTATTCTAAAAAAAGTCTTTATGTAGGAGAAACAGCTCGCCTCGCTTGAGAGAATCGAAAAGTTAATTAAAAAAATTTTATTAAATCCAGAAGAATCTTTTCCTTTGTACAGAGATACACCACCCCATCTCTTTCTTTCTCGAAGTTGCATTTGACGAAGGTGGGCTCGCGTACTGGAGATAAGGGAGTCGATAACGCGTCTTTGCCTGCGATGCATCCGACGACGTACCGCGGCATGGCCGAACGACGCTATTTAAGCGACTACTTAAAATCAATAGCGGCCTGACGTTTATATCGCGCCAAGAGTCTGACAGCATAATTCTTATACCCTCTTCTCCGCCCTCTCTCGAACCTTACCTTGTCACCTGGTCTCCACGCGCAAATTTTACCCTCTACATCCCTTTCTCTCTCTCCTCTTTGACAGAGGTATAGGATCGCAGGAAGCTGAAGAAGCTTACGATACGGCGATACTTGTTCGATGGTATTAAAGTATCGTATCATTTTCGATATCGAGTATATTTCTCCCTTCAATATTTTTAACCTCGACAGCAATTCGAAACGGCGGCAAGGCGCGAATAAAGAAAACCTGTCCATATATATATATATATGTGTGTATGTGTGTGTGTTTTACTTTCTCTTTCGATTAACTATGAGAGACTATGGCGAATTTTTTGTATCCATTAATCGCCAGCGTGTCGTTCGCGTACCCAATCAACCGTTATGTAATTTATTAAGGATACTAACGATACTACGATACTAATATTAGAATTATTGATGCTTTCACCTTGCTACATTGATACCGCTCCAATAATCTTTCGCCAATATTTTGATATCGATGTCATTATCGCACGAAAACGAAGTGTTCTCTCTGCTCTCCCGAGGGGAGAAATCGATATGTGTATAATGTTACACTATGTTCGGTAGAAATTCGCGCTTGAAGAGTATCAAACGTGATTAAGTGAAAGGGTGAAAAAGCATTACTTTATCTCGCGATAATTTAGTATGAGCCCATACAAGGAGAGTACTTCGATACCTCGATGTAATATCGCGCTTTGTGTAATCCGCTTAAGTGCACATTTAACTGCAATAATCCTCGGATAGCCCTGCAAAATATATTGCGGACTATAACAACAATAAAGCAATTGGAGATATTCAGAGATACGAGTAAATAATGAACAGGCTTCCCCCCTCTGGCGAGGACTTTTTTCGGAGAGCACGATACTTTCCACGCGATAATCTTCGTTCGCAGATATTCGCTATTTTTGTGCTTTTTACCGTCGTATCTATTAGAGATATCAATATGAAACAATGAGTGAGACAATTACAGCGACATAATTATATCTCGTCGCAATGGGCGAAAAATGATCGCGAGATCAAGATTTCTGATAAAGTGATTTGTACAAATCGATTAGATTCTCGCTCTCGAGTAAGAAATACGCACATATAAATTATAAAATTGTGAAGAACATGGAAAACCATTCGTCATATCTCTTGTAAGATTCAAGCGACACTGCAAATTCGTCCAGTTTATCTACTAATCTTGTTGAGACCGCATAAAATAGCGTCGTTTCATGTAAAAGGGAAAGAAGTTCGGGAACGGTAGAGAGTCGAGTACTTCAGGATTTATGATGCAAAGAAGATACATCGTGTACTGAAACAGAATTTTTATTAAGGGACGAAAGAGCTACGCTGTTCTGTCCCTTCACAGGAAACAAAATTGACATAACGGCTTATTAGATCGGGTTTGAGCCGAACAGAACGGCAAAGGCAAATGAAAAAAAAAAAAATGTTCTTCTTGTAGTCACGCGCAAACCCATCTTTACAATTTGGAAAAAAGAAAAAAATCATAATACTGCTGGAACAAGAAACAGCTTGTGTAAATTTGTTTGATTTCACACGGATCAGAGACCGTCTCCGAAATTGTAACACAGATCACGGGAATAATTGTCTTGACAAATGCACATAAAAATCAGAAATACAGAGTATTCCATCTGCGTACAATCACGCGCGAGTCGCGAGTTATTTGTAAATGAAGACGCAAGTTGCATAACACTACGAAGTCGTTTCCCTACGTATCGTTCATTCGGTCGTAAATTTTTTCCCTTTCTTTTTTTAAATAACTAATTGCATCGTCTGAACGGAATTTCAGGTATAAAATACGGACACAGAGACATCAATTCTCCGGGTTGCGAAACGCGAAGAAGATGGTTCCGTTGTGTTATGCCGCTTGTATTTACGAACAACCGAAACTCGGAGATTTCAACGTCACAAAATAAATCGATGTCTATTATTGTGTCGAAAATTTTTCGTTCATATCACGTTAATAATAATAGCTTAGGATATTAATAATAGAGAGAGAGGAGTAACAAAGGTAATAATCGTATCGTAGAACGTTTCAGGTATGCCGTTTGAGCGTTGCTTTGTTCCGCAATCCGATAAATAAATGATTAATAATGAGTATGTTCTTTAACAAAAACGGTAAAGCACGGATAGATCGATAAAACTGATATTGTTTCGCGTATCTCGAACGAATTATACTTTACTCTTTTTTTTGCTTTTTTTTTCTTCTTTTTAATATGTTTCACGTTGTATTGGAGATCTAATTCCAATACCATTGATCGAGCTGCGCATGTTATTCGAAACCGGAAAGATCGTTTGTCTCTGGATGTTAAACTTTTGATGTGATCGATTCTCGCTCGGTTAGTTGGGAATGTGCTTGCACGCAGCTCGCCGCATTGGCTTAACCAATGGGTATACTCTTGCGAAGGTACGAGATCTACGAGCACTTTGCAGAGCTCGTTTCTCTCTCCGTCTCCCTCTCTCTCTCTCTCTCACACATACACACAAAGTGTTCTCCTTCGCGCTCTTATACGATTTAAATCGTAGATATTGATAAGTAAAATTTGCGAATGCCCCCCTTCTTCGGATGTTCGTGGGGCGGCAAATTCGCAAATTCTGGCACACGCCCGGATGTTAACCCGTTTTACACTTCCAAAATCATATTCCTACATTATTGTAAGAATTACACTCGCTTACTTTCATCATATCAAGGGCACTCTCTCCTTGTCATCCAAGCCCGGTCGCGGGACCGCGCTTGGAGATTACCATGTGGGTCAGACGTGCGAAGACGCGGTCGGAGGAATACCAAAGTAAGAAAATGTTACTTTGGCAACTTGCAGCTCTACGGAATTTACACATTACGGGCACACATACGTTAAACTCGTTTTTCCCAGTATCTCTCCCGGTTAAAGAATTATTCATCTGTAATTTGGAATACAAGAACGGCACATATATATATATCTGTACGTACGGCTGCAAGAAGTAAAGATTATAAAACTACCGCGTTCTTCGCAGTCCGCTCACACAACATTGCTAACCAATGTGTTCCTTTTTTTTCCTTTTATATTATTTACGCCCACTTTTATCTAAGTTTATATAATCACCTCGCGCAAGATCATCCTTTCGAAAGAGCCAAGCACGCGACTTTTCTCGTAGTGCTTGTAGAACAAATCTCAATGAATAACGTGATATTTCACATTTTGGTAATTCTTGAAAATATACAAATATGAATGTCGTGCGTTTTAGCTAAGCGAATAAGCTCTCGATTGAAGAGAATTTGGACGAGAATTAAATATATATATATATATGTTTGTACAATTTCAACAAGATTCCCGAGGTGTGGAACGAACTGGTGCTTGGCTCTTTCGAAAGCTAAGTAAAATACACTTCGCAAAATAGATTCCATAATGGATCTATCGGTGTTTCCAATTACAGCGTAGTAAAACTAAGTGTTGCTACGCTGCTTAGTCTACATGTAATAAGGTTGCCAAAAGAATCGTTTTCGAAGAAATATCTCGAGCAAAATAATAGGAGAAACTAACGGAATAAGAATAGATTTTTCGTAGTAAGCAAATGGGACCGACAGATCGGTCTCGCTGATCGTGCCGGCGAAACGATTCCGTGGGGCCCATTGTGCTCTCCTACATTAAGTAGATAATAAAAATAAAAGAGACCGTAATATTAGGGGACTACGATGTAATCGTGTGCGATTCTCATCGTTCGAATGAATATGCAGTGGGCGGCATGCTATTCGATCGGTGAGACCCGCACCTTGAGATAAATGTATCGACGACAGACGAAAAGATCGAATTGCACAGCAACATGTACAACACACAAAGTAAGAATGACGTATCTCATGTGGCTTTTGATAAGTCGCTGCCAATTTGTATAAATGTGACTTTCGTTTTAGAAATGTTAAGCCCTGTATGTACTCTCTCTCGCATTGTGTGTCTCTTATCGCTAATAATGATCTCACTCCCCGACACTCGTGCATCGTGAGATTCCCCGCGCAGTCTGTAACGTCACGATGCACGCTTGCGTTTTTTTTTTACACTTGATCCTCGAAACTTTCTAGTTCAACAGAACTGTTGAGCCGCGCGCGCGCTTCCCAAATTGGGAAGGTAAATCCCTTAAGAATAAATCCTCCTTTTAGACTGCTTTACACATTACAGAAAGTTTGAATTTCGCAATTCGACGGCATCCGTAACAAATCGGTTTTGGCTGGCGAAAAAACGGTTGCTAATGCATTTAGCGCTACGACAGTATATTACAGTACTCTCTCCTGCCTCAGAACGGCGACACCAAGGAGACGTTATTGTACCTAACGAATTATTAAAACGTAGCAGATGTAATCGCTGGCTTTCCGGGCCGCTGGTTGTTCAAGACTGTTTATTTTTTACATGTGGTCAGTGTGGCACCATCTCGTCACGCGGCGGTTATTGTTATTTGCTCGCGTTGTTATCTCGCCCGAGCGGAGAAGACGGGCTCGACTTCTGATAAATCAGAAGCGGTCGCGTCAAGATTCGTTGTCTCTCTCCCTCTCTCTCTCTCTCTCTCTCTCTCTCTTTCTCTTTGTCAGATATATATCACCGATGACAAAGTTCTCGCATTGTGCGCGCAACACGCCGCGCTCTCCTCTCGCCCGCGCTCGATTCTCGATCTTTATCCGCCCGGTGCAACAGTCACAGCCGTAGCTAAGATCGCACTTAGTCGAGAGTTAAGTTTCGTCGCGAATCGAAGGTTAAGGAGAAGCAGAGAAATAGAAATGTAAAATTACAATTACGTAATTACAATATGTCGGAACGAGGTCGGTGCTAAGAAAATTCAGTCGTTTTCTCCCCCGTGATACGTTCCTTGTGAAGAGAGTATATATATATACACATCGCGTTTCTCCTTTACGATAATTACACACACACACACGATTATGAGCTGCTGTTGCCTCGTCACTCACACGCACAAACACACACACACACACACATACACACACGATGGATGTGCCCGGAATTCAATGCTAATTTTCAAATTGGAGTAACTTGTACTTTTACAGATTATAATGAACAACCATCAACCCGGATCTACATTCTACACACATCTAATTCAATGTCCGCCGCGTATGCAATCCCACTTTTCCCTTCGATGCTTCGTTTTTCTCGTGTGTCAGCAGTTACTTCATTACTGTACATCTATTCTACACCAGTCTCTGTGACAAATCTCACAGTTTACAACTGACACTCTGCAGCCCTAAACACATTTTAAACCGCCTTTTGTCACCGTTAATATTCCATTTAAAGACGTTTTCTCGCCTCATATACGAAATATTTTGGTATCGCCTATTAATCTGTACAAATTTCGCTCCGTAAACCTAAGTCATATTGGCTGGTGGCCTGCTTCCTTCGAATTCAGAATTTTCGATTGTAGTCATGCACTTCGAACGACAATTTTTCCAACACGCTTTTCCATACGCATCTTGCGACAAGTTCACTCGAGATTAAACCGCGACTCTTGGAGATTCTATGTTAATGTTATATCAGAGATAATAATGGCAGTTATTTTCATCTTTCGTGAGGCGCGGTACTTGGTAGCGGGGAATAAAATGCTGCATCCTTACGCTGCGTCATATGATATATATAACGCCACCGCTCTTTTTACATTCTAATTCGCCTACTACCTCCTACCAGTCACTCCTCATCCTTCGCCATATGATTTCGGCAAGATGTTCTCACCATTTTTAGTTAGATCTCGAACTTCGATTGACTGCTGTCGCATAATTAAACATATGTACAATCGGACATATGCCACTTTATCAGCAATCGCACATAGAACCTCCATTTAAGAGAGCCCACCAGCCAGTTATTTATAAAAAATAATTATATAAAACTAGTCAATTGTACAACCTCTGATTCTCAATCACGGTACTGTAAAAAGAAAATCCAATTATGTGTTCCAAAGAAAAAGAAAAAAAAAAAAAAAGAAATTACACTAACGATTAAATAAAACTGAAAAAAGAGATTTGGCATTGAGAAGTGATTTGAATTTCAGAGTTGTATGACAGTATTGACAGATATAGCAAAATCAAGCCACGATCAAAACATTACAACGGATGAATGAAATGTTTCAATATCCAAATCTTACTTGATTGCTGAAGAGCAATTTATATGTATATACGTAATCTTATTGGTGTTTTAAGAACAATTTATATAGTTATGCATGACAGTACAAAAGTAATGAGCACGTGGATTCGGTATGCTGCATTCAATGTGTGAGAAATTGGCCGATAGTTTCTTTCTCTAAATCATACATGCCACCTTTCTTAACCGTTAAACAACAGAAGAAAAGAAATACTGGAAGAATGAAGCCGTTGTATAAAAATCCTCTATTAAAACGATGTTTTGTGTGTGTGTACCCGCATGTAATATTTACAGTTATGATAAAATGCAATGATTGATTAATTACGTTATTCACATATCTGTTTACATATTGTTTACATATGTTCTCTTTTTTCTCTATTCACATATCTGTTTACATATTTAAACCCCTCCTCAGGTTCAACTGTCTTCACTCTCCCCAGTGAGTTCAAAGCACAATTGTATGCCTTATATGAACGAGTCACGATCACCATTTTCACAATTTAAACTCTGAGCGCATGTGAAGCTTCGTGTTGCGACAGTGTATCGAAACTACTTAGACACATTACCTTCTTCCATACTATTATTGTCTTCTGGTCTCGCTACATACAAACTGGGGTCTATCACCTTCGGAATAGGTTTAATTTCTGTTCCAAGCTCTTGTTCGATACGATGTAAGTTGAAGCGATCCTCGTATGTGATTAGGTTAATTGCTATACCTAAGTGACCGAATCTTCCAGATCGGCCGATTCGATGCAGATATGTCTCTGCCATCTTCGGAAAGTCAAAATTGATTACGACGTTCACAGCTTGAACATCAATACCGCGGGTAAATAGATCACTGCTCACCTGCAACGAAAGGAAAAAAAGGGGGGTTTCACTCAATCTCATATTAAATATAAACGACAATGACATTCAATCGTCAGAGCTCACATGTTTGTGAGCACGATAACTTACGAGATTTCGGCATAATCCTGCACGGAAATCATGGAATACGCGATTTCGGTGCGCCTGCGCCATTTTCGCGTGTATGTAATAACAGCAATATCCAAGATCTGTTATTTTCTTAGCCAGTAATTCGACGCGTTGCGTTGAATTGCAGAAGATTATGCTTTGCGTTATTTGCAACTGAGGGAATGATATACAAGTGAGACAACTGACTCTTGTAAAAAAAAAAACAAAAAAAAAACGATTGGGAATAACGTTCACTCTGAAAATTACTATTACTATACCTTGGAAAATAGCGTGTTAAGGCAGTGAACTTTTTGTCGTTCCTGTACAAAAGCGTAATATTGTGTTACGCCTTTTAGTGTCAACTCTTCCATTAAATTAATCTCGTATGGATCTCTCAAGTGTTTCTCCATAAATTGTTTCACAGTCAGAGGAAATGTAGCTGAATACAGCAAAATCTGACGTTCGTGTGGTAATCTGGAAACAGAATAATACAATTACTAAATACCGTAAAATAGTGTGAAAAATCATTAACGCAAAAAACATTATCGAAGGATAGTTTTCAACAAATGATTTTGCAGCATTAAAATATATAAAGTGCTATGAACAATTGTTCATCATCAAGAAAATGTCAGTTTTTTTAAATATCGAATAAAAAATATGACTGCGACAATATCAATATTTGGACACTTGGGACAATATTGTTAGTAGCATTTCATAAACCAACACAAATTCGATAAATTTTGAGCAAGAATTAATTTAATGATCTCTAATTGATCAGTTTGACGCACTCAGAAATATGAACAAAGCACAGCCATCAATTCAACAGGCACGTTTCACATTACAAGCGATTATATAAATATGCGAAGTTAACCTTAATGATCACACGTTTAAAAAACATTAATCGTGTGATTATTTTGCACAGTTATATATTCATAGGTATTCAGCTGGTATCATAAAAGGGAGGCATAATTAATTACGCGGGGCTTCTGTATAAATTAGAAAGTAATATTCTTTGTAAACATACCTCGATATAACATGATCCAACATTCCTTTAAAGTCTTGCGATAGCAGCTTGTCTGCTTCATCCAAAACTAGAATTTTACAATGTTCCATGTTGGCCACATTCTTATCCATCAGATCAAGGATCCTTCCTGGCGTTGCAATTATCACTTGTACTGCAAGTATAAAAAATATATTAATTATATATTAAAAAATTTAACGCGCGATTCGCTCGTAAATTTTATATTCTCTCGAATTTTACCTTTTTGATAAATCCTCATAATGTCATCGCGCAAATTGGTTCCTCCAGTAGTGACCATAACCTTAATATCCATGTGCTTTGCAAGTTCAATACAAATCTGTGATGTTTGTAATGCTAATTCTCTCGTAGGTACAATCACCAATGCTTGAATTACATCCTTCCTTGGGTCAACCTAATAAATAATAGATGATGTTAATAAGGATGTCATTTAAAATACTGGCCCCCAAGTTAATACTTTTGCGATACATACCTGTTCTAGTACTGGGATCGAGTATGCGCCAGTTTTACCAGTTCCATTTTTCGCTCTTGCCAAGATGTCCTTACCAGAAAGTGCAATGGGTATACTAGCTTCTTGGATCGGCGATGGTTTCTCCCATCCCTTCTCAAAAATTCCCATCAATAATTCACGTTTTAGGCAAAATTCTTCAAACTCGTTACCACGTGTGTCAGTAACATCCTATAAAATATTTAATAAAAAAAAAGTAAATTTTTATTCAATTTCAAATTATTCCAATATTTAAAATATTCAAGTAAAATTTTCATCTTGTAAAAAGTTACAATAAGGATTTGATAATATATTTAAATTGACCAACTGATCTCTTTTTTATATATTTTTATTATATATTTATTGATATATATGGAACTTACACTTGTTTTAATTCTTTTATCCTTTGGTGGAATCTTTAATTTGGCTTTCCAACCAACATCATCCATTTTATCTATTTCTGATTTGGTAGACAAACCAGAATTTAACATGTGGTTAGAGTTTATATGTGTTTCAGTCATCATTTTGGAAATGATGTTATTTGAATTATATATCAATTAGTATATTTATTTTCTGAAAAAAAGAAAATATTATGTTTATTAACTAATATCATTATATGCATTATTAACTTATATCATTATATTATATAGCTATTATATAGCTGTATTACATTTACAATTTATTAATTTATTATATATTATAATACAACAACATATTTACAAGCTTCATATTTAATACAATTTCTTTGGAATATTTAAAACATTGCATGCCGATATTAAAAATAAAATTTGTACAATCTATAATTGTAATTAGAAAATATTAATAATCCCTTAAAAATGTCAAAATCCTCTCAAGTTCACATTTGGAGAGAGAAAGGGAGTGAGAAATATCTATCAAGTAACAAGTTCCGAAATTAACGTTTGAACAGAAAGTCACGAGACGGAGACCAAACAAAATTGACCTACAATGACTGTATGCCTATAGATACCATGTTTGCCGTTATAAATACATTCAAATGTGCTTAGTGTTTTTGTATGTTTGGATATACAAGGTAGTGTCATGAAAATAGATGTGGATAACTGCCTTTATATATAGATGGCAGTTAACTGCGCTAAAAAAAAATTCGACTCTCTTGCCATTTGTAATAACTGGCGAATTTTGCGTAATTGGGCAGGAATTTTGAGATCGAAAAAAAAAATTTACAACATACACGTGTAAAAAATATATATATATCACTTTTCTTGCACAATGCAAGCAAAGAATAGTCTGTAAATCGGAAGAGAAACTATTGTATTTTCAACTTCTCGAGCTTACCTTACGATAACAACGAAATATTCGTCAACGTATCCAGGATTTTCCCCCACGGAATGAATCAAGAGACCGAGATACCGCGAACGACGCTCGGAGCAGCGAGAAAGAATAGGGATCCGAGTGTGGCCGTGATGATCACGAGTGCTCGTGATTAACGATAGCCGATATACGCCGTATTCGTATAGTGCGCAAACACGTTTCACGAATTTCAAACACGTAACGTACGAACCGTCGATAAAGGCGGGCGTGTAATTTGCGCGTTGAACACAGTCCAATTAAATTTCCCCGATACAATTCTAACGAATATAAACCGCGGGGCTCTCCTTCTCCCTCTCTCTCTCGATCAAGTCCGCTGAGATGTCCTCGCTTCGAACTGCTCGCTGCGGAACTATCGCTCCCGACGAACGGCAGCGAATAAAGACGAAACGGGGCGCGATACCGTTAGCCCACGAGCGGCAGATTTTCCGCGGCGGCGGTTCTCTCGCGGGAGCGACGCGCGCCGCGCGGAGCGGGGCGTCGAAACGACGACGAGGGGCGCGAGCACGGGGAAAGTGCACGGCGTCCGGGTCGCACGACATCGGTGTGTTCCTTACCTCGAAACAGATGGACGTCGATGCCGTGTATGCTTCGTAGCACTACGATCGGGGGGGAAACAACACGCCAAAATGGCCGTTCCCAATGTCAGTGATTTCGTCGACTTCTTGCACAGCGCCAGGTGACCGCGCGTCCGGTCACCGTTGCCGTTCGCAGCGTGGCGCGTTACCTCTCTCCTCTTTGCCGCTTTTACTCGTTGAGCCGTGCTCGGGGGGAGAAGAAAGCGTTTTCGCGTAACACGCCGGTCGACTCTTCTTCGTCTCTCTCTGCTCTGCGTCGGTCGGTCTCTCGCCTGCTATTGCGTTCCGTTTGCAGTATCTCGAATTCCCGACTACAATGCACTGCGTCAAATGTGAGCGACGATTATCGCTCGTTGCGTGAGGCACGAATCGTGTCACGAAAGAGCAGCACACTCAGATGCGAAACCATCGCGTTGGCGTGCGATCGATGACACAAAGCGCTGTTCTCATGTAGCGCGCGCGATCTCATTGGCTGCTCGCTCGCATACCGGCTGCGTTCCGAAACCGTAGTCGACGGGTAGAATAGCGTTCAATCAAGTCTGCAATGTTTTAAGCCTTAAACCGAGTCTACAATAGAGGTAGAAATCCTTAAGCGTAAAAAATAGACCATTCACAATCGAATTTTATTACACCTATTGTAGACTCGGCCTTAAGCCTTAAGAAATTGACCAATCACAATTGACCATTCTTCTATCATTCGATTGTGATTGGTCAATTTCTTCAGGCTTAAAATATCTATTGTGGACCGACACTATTGTAGACTAGGATTAACCAGTTATGATTTTTAAAAAATCTTTACTTTTTTCTGATTGGTCAACTAAATATTATTTTATTAGTAGACTACCGTTTCTCGAAACATAGCTTCGGTCTTTATAAGTTGCGTTTGGAAACACACACATAGCGTGCACACTACTAGATACTAGCTGTTCCTAGTCATCAATTGAAATTGACCAATTCAGTTTAAGTACAAAAAATGTGTATAACGTGATGCAACTAAAGGGAACGGACTCACGGATCTCTTTTTTTTTTCCTTTTTTTTTCGACAAATGGCACATTTTTCTTTCTCCCTACTTTTCGTCACCAACTTTCTATTTTTATTGATGGGAACTTTCAAAGTCTCTGTGACGGATCATGTATCACATATTCACGTCGAAACTATTGAAGCTTTGTGTGCCACTCGTGTGTGTTATTGGAAACAATACATTCGAATCGTCTTCAGCGCCATGCCAATCTGCGCACGTCGAACGGTGCAAGGGACACGTCATTGCCGCGTTGCTGTACAAAGTAATTCAAATCGTAACGGATACTCCGCGCATCAGACGAAACCGATATAATTCCCATGAATATCGACTGCGATGAGGATTCCCTTTATCACAGATTCAAATATTTGATGAGAGTACTGTAAGAAAAAAAAAAATAGTCTGTATACGATATTCTCCGGATCATATCGATAGGTTGTTGCAAAGTTACCGGAAGCGGTATTACGAAAACGTTTTATTGGCAAATGTGAAGAATACGTTAATATAGTTAATATAATTCTCTCGTTATTACACGATACACAATTATAGCGCTTGTATTCTATACTTTCTTTTATCGATAAAAATGCTTTTAAAAATGATTGAGAATTACTTCATTGACTAAGAAGCCACATTTAAAGTACTTTTATAGAAAGATAAAAGAAAGTTTAGAAAATATGGCTTATGCGTAGTATTATATATTAATTAAGAACAATTTTACATATTGATATCTCTATCTATGTCACAGATTCTTTTAGTATGCGTTTTTACGGGCAGGCAAGATCTTTCTTCTGCGACATACGATACTTGCGACATGCTTCCGGACAGTGACGCTCCAAGTATCGTCTTTGCGAGAAAGCCTTAAAGCACACGCTACAACGCCACTGCCACTGATGATGATTACGTGTTCTCTGATGAGCGCGCAAATTCGACCTGCAAGTCATCACATTATCATAATGTTCGATCAGCACGGTACGGACAATATTTCTTAATAATCATCACTGCTCCATTATAAATATATGGATTAATTATTAATTAAATAATATTAATTTAATAGGCCAAAAATATATTAAACATGCAATATACTCTGGAATGATCAGCATTCCTCTTATTTATTATTCGTTATTAAAGTATCATGTTCTTTCTGTCTGTTTAGTGAAATTTCCACCTATCCGAGAATGATATATATATATATGTAATTGATAATTTTAGAAATCGTGTCGATTTTTCTTCGACTTACCGATCAGCAAAAGATTTGTGACAAACTGGACATTCAAAAGGTCTCTCGCCCGTGTGAAGGCGCAAATGACCCTTCAAGACCCACGGTCGATCGAAACTCTTGTGACAATACGGGCAATAATGCATCGTTTTATTTTTCTTCCAAGGCTGAGTGTTCTCTTTAGCGCTTGTTTTATCCTCGATAGCATTCATCTGTTCGTATTTTACATTTGGGACCAAGTACAACGCTTGCGAGAGCGTCTGCGTTTCGCAGTTGCTCATTACAATCTCCTGACCCACCGTCTCGGCAATTTTTCCCGGATCCGATTGCTCCGGTCCTTTTACCGATTCCTTCGCTTTGCAAAAGGATCGGGACACGTCGTCGAACGATATCGCTGATACCTTCTCTGCACCGATTGCATTTCCATCAATCGACGAGGTACTCTGACGGTTATTTGCAAGATTCCAATCCGCTGTATTTAATCCCGTGTCGAACATCGCGTTATTGATCTTGCGAAAGCTGTATCGAGTCACAATAGGAAGCCCTGAGCATGTCCAGATATTGCTCGTCTTCGGCGTTATATCTTTCGTGCGATTCTTTTGTTTAGGATCCGTGGACGGTGGCAACCAAGAAAATTCGGTCTCTGCAAAGATTGATTTTATGCAAACACCGATATCTGGTATTACATTAGACAAGGTTTCAAGTATACGATAAAAGATATATTACTATGTATTGTTGCAGATCAATCCTCATGAGAAATAGACAAATTCAAAGAAATAGACAGAAATTCATATTTTGCAAAATAAAATTCATCGTCATTGTCATTAAACGTTCTCAAATTGTCTATGTTTGTTTCTGCTAAGCTTTTCTCTCTGATAAGCTACTAATATATTTTTATCTTCTTATTAAGGTAATCAACAATTAAGAAACTTGCTTCATAAGAAATAAAGGTATAAACTTTTATTTTTCATATTTCCCAGGTAGCACAAATGTTTTTTTTTTTTTATACAACTCATGCAAACATTTTCTTCAATTGTGTTTTAGTATAAATAATTTCTGTCTGATGGATAACATTTGGTAACACTTAAATGAAAGTAGCACGTGCCAAGATCGTGAGGATTGTTTGTTATTGCGACGATAACCAAGGTTAAAGTAACGGGTCGCGGATCGCAATCTCAATAATTCTCCAACAGGCATTCTGAACTTTCCATAATCGCAAATAAAATTTACGTTTTTACTTAAATAGTGATGACGACGAGTATTCATGGTGTCAGAAGAGATTAGGAAGGATCGTAAATACCTTCGTTCGAATTGTCCGTCTTCTGATATCGCGTCATCGACTTTATCAGACAACGTGGCATGGTTCTTGAAATAAAACGAATGCCTACCTTCCGCAAAAAATACAGAGGACTTTTAACTGTTGTCTACCACAGCAGCAAAATGGCACTGCCGTGCATTTGAACGGTTTTTGTTTCGGTCAGCAGTAGCGTATGATTAACAGTCGGTAGTCCTTCCAGCAGACGAGATCAGAATTTGAATTTGAATCGTTAGAATTCTAATTTACTAATTATACGTTCTTCTTGTGCGCTGAACACTGTTATGATCGTGGTTGCGACAATCATGATAGAACAGTAATAAAATTAATATAACGTAATCACTTCCCAGTAAGCAAGAAATCATTGATACAACGTTATCAAGTAACGATATAAAAATATTTATAAAATATCATGGCAAAATGTTGATAAAGTCCATATAAAATCAATGTTGAAAAGATTGATTTAATTTTTGCTCACTGAGTTTGGATATTCTGCATTTATTAAAATTCGTGAAATCAAAATTAACAATCAAATTCTGAGAAGGCAATTATGATTGAATTTGCACGTGAGTTGTTAAGCTTCATATATATTGTCATGTTAAATATCTGTTGTATGTATCTACTATCTGTATGTACTTATGTGAAATCTCTCTTCTATAACTTCGCCGTATTGTCAGTAGCGACCTTTAGTGTCTTCATAACAGCCGTAGTGAAAACAAGGATTGAATTTGAACTCAACGTCTCAGGAACAATTTCATACGAGACGTGTGATCGAAAAGTCGTTTCTTTCTCTAAGGTACGAATAATACATTGTACTCATTCATTTTGACGAGTACGTTTTTTTTATTTACGAAAGGTGTACACACATTTCTCTTCTATCTATTCTAAGTGAATATTTCACAATCTGTGCCCCAAGTTATTAATAATCGTAAATATTTTATTCCGGGTCAAATACAGTTTTATACAATTATTACCATATTTTATATATTTCATCATATCAAAATATCATCAGTTTAAATACTAATTTATTACACAGTTTAAATAACTTAAAATTATTTAAAATTATAATCGTTAGTATCCTGGCAATACCAATTAAATCTGTAATATTTTTGATTTTATAATTAAACAATTTGTAGATCTGCTAATAAAATTTAATGTGTGTGCACTTGTGTACCTGAATTACACACACATTTTTAGTTTAATAATTTAATTTACGCAACAGGCGTATTTCATTTGATAAAGAAAATACGAGAAAGAGCAACGCGTATGAATGCAAAAATAGAATTTAATTACTTCGATTGTACAATAATATTTTAAAGCATTTGTGATTACAGGTCATGCGTCGCATCGTAGACCTGTTGCTTATATGTAGCTTTTTACACCCTTATTTCTATTGCACAGGTGAGTTAATATTACTATATTTTATATTTAACAGCGTGTGCGCAATAAAGTCATATTAAAAAAAAAATTTCTTTGTATGAGATAAACTAATTTTTGGCAGTTAATTTTCAACGTGTTTATTTCGTGTTTGAATTTTGCAACCTCTCGATTGCATATGCATGTATAAATAAATCTCTGCGCTTCCAATAATATTATTTATTCACTTGCATTTCCAACATGCAAATTATGTGCAAATGTGCAAATCTTCAAAATGTAATAAAAATATGTATTATGTTAGAAGGCTCCGCATCATTTTGCAAAAAACCCGATTGGTTTCAATGCGATAATGGCAAATGCATACCTTTCGTATCAGAGTGTGACAAATATAATGACTGTGGTGATAATTCGGATGAAGAAAATTGCACGGACTTTAAAGTGAGTATTGTATGGTTAGTATACGAAACTTATCACTTACCAGGTGCGTTTCGATCCTCGTATTTCGACCCTCTACATTTTATTAAGTTCGGAACATCCAGTTTGTAAACCGGCGCACAGATATTTTCAACTTCTTACTTGAATCACACATACACACGTGTACACACGCGCAAAATGAAATAAAATAATTTCTTCGCGTGCTTTCAGCTGATACTGCCCGATTCCATCAAATGCGCCAAAGACGAATTTATATGCGCGGATTCCGAATGCATACCAAAGGGAAAGTTTTGCGACGCAGTACCCGACTGCTTGGATGGAAGCGACGAATATACCGGCTGTGTGAAAAAGGTGAGTAGATCAGGATTTTCAGTATGTTATCGCGCAGCATTCAGCTATATCGATCTCGTTCGCGGTATTCGTCCGACATGATGACAAATTCGCATTTTCTCGGTCGGGATAGTTAAAATGCAAAGGCAAATTTCGCTGTTCCGACGGGCATTGTATAGCGAAAGACTGGGTTTGCGATAACAAGAAGGATTGTCCCGATGGTAGCGACGAACGAAATTGCGGTAACGTTTGAAAAATATGCTATTGACATCGAACTGTAAACACAGAAAAATATTATTTGTACCTGTTGTATTAAATTCGGTTAATTGGAATAAGCCGAAATTTTTATGTTTTAATGTTTTAGCATCTTAATATAATATTCTTGATTGAATTATTAAACTTACTAGGATTGAAAATATATTTTGAATAAATTTGATGCTTATGATGAACTTATGGTATACTTGTGGATATATAAACTTACAAAATGCTTGAAACAAGGATATATTTTGCTAAAAGTATCAAATAAGCTTTTCGAATATTTGTGATGAGTATATTTTAATATGTGATACGTATATTTTAATTGTGACGGGTATATTTTAATACTATATCAAGAAAATATTCTTTTTTTCAAGATAACCATTACTTAAAAGAAGAAAAATTAACTGAGTAACTGCTTTTCTACGCAGTACAAGAAATATTTTTCCCGTAGATAGAGAAAGGAATGATAATTTCACTATATCAGAGAAATTCCCTTTAACGTTTCTTATTTTCGGACAGAAAATAAAATATTGGACGCGAGCAATTGTACAAATGAGAATGGCGGGTACTTGTGTAAAAATCAAAGATGCATCTCTCTTAGCACGGTGTGCAACGAGAAGGACAACTGCGGCGATGGATCGGATGAAGGCGACGGTTGTAAAAATAGTATGTTGTAATTCGATGTATGCAAATTGTTCACTACCTTCTATCTCGTAACACATGAATATACAATGCGATGTAGTTTCCGCATTATTTTTTACAATATCGCAAAAATATCTATTCTTCCACAGGTACAGCGTTATGCACATCAATGGGATGCAGCGATATATGTAGGATGACTCCTAATGGACCTATTTGTACCTGTCGACCTGGTTACACATTACAAGATAATCACACGTGCATAGGTAAATTCAGAATGCGAAAAAATCGTGCGAAGGCTATGTTTCCCCCTCCTCAATACGATTCACTTTTGCAGATATCGACGAGTGCGCAACTTATGGGATATGCGATCAACGATGCATGAATACGAAAGGGTCATATAAATGCACCTGTCAAACGGCTTATTCGTTACTGGACGACAAGAGAACCTGCCGAGCGCAAGGTGAATTAATTTATGAACACAACGATGATTATTTATATATAACGAAAGTCCTCAATTTTTACTTCGTACTTCAGGCGGCGAGGCCACAATGATGTATTCTACGAAAACGGAGATTCATGCAATGTTTCTCAATTCGAGAATGAACGTCACTATAGCGCAAAACTTAAGCCATGCCGTCAGTGTAGCTGTGAACGGAGATTACCTATATTGGTCCGAGACCGAGGAAGGCAAGGAGGCGATCGTGAAAAGTATCTTTGGAATAAAGAAGGAATTCATCGTTACAGCAGGTACCTTATCAATGGCGCTTATCGATAATTGCGATCTTTGCAAAGTATTTGTGGAAATAACCTTCCAAAGACGTTATGTCTTCGACATAAATTTTAAATGAAACCGAATGAATTCTTGATGCTTCTTTAATTACTATATCTAAAGAAAAAATTGATTGTACTCAGCAAACACCAAGTTGCGTAACTATTAATTATAATTTCTTACTTAACAATTGTTATATAACGCGTTATATAACTGTAACTATCTGCTGGTATTATTTATTATTGTATTTCCTAAATTTTGCGTGTTCTCTCTTTGTAAAGGTTTAGACATGTTGACGGATATAGCTGTCGACTGGATCACAGGTAACATATATTTCACGGATGACGGTTACATGCGTATCGGAGTTTGCGACAACAACGGCACATACTGCACTGTATTAATCAATAATCAAACTAGAAATCCGGGGGGACTAGCCTTGCTACCAACTAATGGGTATGAATGTTACATACCAAAGCGATATTTAAAAATTACAGATATAACCCAGATAGCGTATGTTAGTTTCACATACGTTCTTTAAATGTATGTAACGTTTCGTAATTGTGCTACATATGTTTAAAGAACGTGTATGAAACTGACCGTGCTGCACCTGGGAAATAAATCCGATCTTTTTCGACGTACACTTTTAGATTAGATCTTTAGGTTAGATCGTGTATTAAGTAAAAGAATAAAAAGATAAAAATTTCCAATCTTTTTTATTACAATCTGGAAATTTATGTACAATTTGGAAATAAGATATATATAACAATACTTGCAGAATAATGTACTGGAGCGATCGAAGCTCCCACGCGTATATAGCGATGGCAGGGATGGACGGCAAAAATAGTCGTTTATTCCTTACTGAAAACGTAGAATGGCCAAAAAGCATGACCATCGATTATCCAAACAACCGATTGTATTGGGTAGATGCTAAATTAGCTGTTGTCGAATCAATACGTCTAGACGGCACTGATCGAAGGGTTAGTCTTTGTTCCTTCTCTAAAAGAAAACCACGATCCAAATTCAACGATTCGAAAAATATATTTATGGTTTGATTATCTGCAGACTGTACTGCGCGATTTTGTACAACATCCATTTTCTTTGGCTGTCTTCGAAAATAAATTGTATTGGAGCGACTGGACCGAAAAAACGATACAGTCCTGCAATAAGTTTACAGGGAAGGATTGGAGGATCGTGTTACGTGCTGATAACACACCGTACGGCGTGCATATCGATCACTCAGCGTTAAAACCTAAAGTACGCAGCATATCTATGTATATTATTGTTTTGCGTCGCAAAAGTAGACAGATTTGTAAAAGATGTCCACGTGATCGTAAACTAATCTAATTGCAGAACCCTAATCCATGTAACTTGAAAGCTTGCTCGCAACTGTGCATGTTGAACCAAAATAAAAGCTATACGTGCGCTTGTACTCTGGACAAGAAACTGGGCTCCGACGGACACACATGTCGAGGTGAATCCTTATTGCACTCTCATGTCCGTTTCTACCGTCACGGTTTAAATTTCATCGACGATTAGCCTATTAGCTGAACTAATCAATGCGATTAATCGATACCGTTGGGTTAATCGTCGGTTTTAATTAACATTTAAATCATGATGGTAGGAACGAGCATCGATGATGTAAATCGAAACTCTAACGTATGATCGATATGAAATGAATGTTAAAACAGATGTAATTTCAGATGTGAAGAAGAGGCAACACATTATTATCGCTGCGAGGGGCGCTTTTATTGATTATTATCACGAATTACTGGGCAAGCCGAAGATAACAGCGAACAATGGCTACAGACACATAACTGCAGTAGCGTACGATTCGCTTTCCGGTATAGCGAGATTATTGTATTTACGCAGCACGTTATACTACAGTTTTTACACGTTGACTCTCTCTCTCTCTCTTACAATTATGTCTTATTTAGGCTTTATATTTGCCGGCGATCAGTTTAGCAACAACATCATTCGCTACGATCCGGTTTACGGCGATATTAAAATTTTCATGTCGATGAGGAACGAAATTTTAGGAGGAATGGCGTTTGACGACTTTGGCAATAATTTATACTTGTCGGACATAGAACGAAAGACTATTGAAGTGCATAGTCTATCAACCGCGGCGAACACGACTTTCTACTTGGAAGAACGACCTTACGACATCGCATTGGTGCCTGAAGAAGGGTATGTACAGGGTGTTGTATCAACATACAGCTCATTACGACGGATTGCTTGCCCAGAGGGATGGCGACTAATCTGAAAGATTTCTCATGGCGTGTTCTCTCTCACGCGTGCCCCTGCAGCGTGTAACCCGTCGTAATGAGCTGTATGTTGATGCAACATCTTACAGTCGGCGTCATGTATGCTGTATCATTCCTTGCATCGAGAATCGGGCGATTTTTATTCTTAGGGGCTCAGCTGACTCATTGGTTCGAGACAATGCCTTAAGTTTTTATCTTTAAGTAACGCACAATGATTGTCTGTGTCTTGAGTCTTAAATTATAAAATCGTTTTGTTTGTGATTGATAACAAACCGCTATGTGATAGAAAAAAATTAAAAAATGATAACTCAGACAAAGATTGAGGGCATAAACATTGTTTTAAAAATACAAGTCGGCTATTCTGGCAGGTCTCTTAGGTCCGTTCCAGATTACGGATTGGGGATTACAATGTCAGATCAATCAGGTAATTAAAATCTTGCTTTTGATTTATCTGATTAGTCCGATTGCGGTCCTCAATTTAGTGTGATACGGGCCTTACACATATAAGATCAAAATCGTTATAACTAGAGTCATTACAACCCTGTCACGTTGTAGTTAGCGTTACTTATGCGATTCAACTTCATGGGTTAATATAAGATTGAAAATCATGTAATTTTCCGCGCATGGAAATAGTACATGCGTGCATGACGCCGACTGTACCGCGTTTACTCGATCGCTGTTGCCGTTACGATTGCAATTGTTATTTACGGAATAACTTATAATTATACGTTCCGTGTTATCGTAGCGTAATGTTCGTGGTGTTCCGAGGCGAAAAAGGCTACCATATAGACAAAATGCAAATGACTGGAATTGGTGTGAGAACAAAGTTCGTAGAGAGCGATTTGCTGGGCCCGACGGTGTCGTTGTGCTACGACAGAGAGCAGAGAAAAATCTTTTGGAGCGACGAAGGCACCGGTCGCATCGAAAGCGCTGAGACCACAGGTTCTCGTTTCAGTTTAAGCGTTACAAATGTCCACGGCTGCTTTCGGCGGAGTGCGCTATCAGCGCTTTCGCGCTTATTCCATCTTTATCGCTTATTGGACGCAAAACAAAGATAGGATGACGCAAAGATAGAATAGCGCTGATAGCGTGCTTCTCGAACGCGGCCTACGTGTTGCTGGCGTGAACCCCAAAGCGTGGTCTACAATGGGTGGTAATGTTTATAAGAAGTAAGAGTAAGAAATTAACTAATCATAGTCGATTATTCTTCTTACATTCTCATCCGATCATAAATACGATCGGTCAATTTCTTATTCTCACTTCTTATAAACATTACCGCCCATTGTGTGGACCACGTTCAAAACGGTACCAAACTGATACATGTCTCTTACATGGCAGATATTATCGTACGGTCGCGCGCAATATTTCATTGCAAGTAATCACACGAACGTTGGAATAATGCCGAGCAATTCAAACTTTCAGGTTTCGGCAGGTATCTTTTCCGTACCGGACTAAAGGAGCCCGTGAGCCTTGCCGTCGCCGGAGAATACGTTTTCTGGACCCAACGCGGATCGAATAGACTGTTTTCGGCTGATAAGAACAATATGCATCAGAAGAACAACGGTGCCATGATCCGTGAGTTCGACGTTACAGGAAATGACGGGGAACGTGATATGAATATGTAGGATGACTACTCGGCGATACATATTTGTTTTTCCAGATATGGCTGAAAAAGTAGAAATAACGCATCTGGTAGCCCTGCACGGAATTGTCGTCCACGAGGAGTACAGTTGCCGCGACAACAATGGCAATTGTTCGCACGTGTGCTTGCCTTCTCCTGACGCTTCATACGTGAGTATGTTTTGCAGTCGGTTGAAGTGAGCACAAGGTGATGCAATCATACATCCGAACATTCGACGAATGCAAATGCATAGAATTAATAAAAGCGTCACGAATACGTTACCTAACCCGCGACGCATGCACCGGCTCGGCGATTATCTATCGAAGAAACGTATCGTTATGGGACTACAATATGTTCAATTTGACGCAATAACTTTCAGATTTGCGCTTGTCCTCCCGAAATGATGTTGAGTGCGGATAATCATACGTGCAGTCCGCAATCCGCCTGTCCGCCCGGCAAGATTAAATGCAGCGAGCACAACGTCTGTATAAAACGGCAACAATGGTATGCTTTGCGTATCGCCTTCTTTCTTCTCTCATATATTTCACAATTAATCAGAGATAGTTCCCTAATTATTCCAACAAATTATTCCAAAATTATCATATTTTTTTAACAACAATGATTCTAATGATTTTTGTGTGATATATGTTACCTGGCTGATTCAAAGTCAGTTGGACCTCGCTTTGAATATTTTTTCTATTTATCTTTTTTCTATTAAATACAAGGAAAAGGTACAATATGCCATTTTAAAATCGCGTTATCGAGGAATAATATAAATATATAGTAAATTAACGAGATTATAAGGCCTTGTAATTTATGTTTAGGTGCGACGGTATCCAAGACTGCCCGAACGGCGAAGACGAGCCGAGCGGTTGCAAGGAGGCCGGCCACTGCGGGAAAGACAAGTTTATGTGTAAAAATGGCCAGTGCATAAACGGGAAAGATCGATGCAACTTGCGCTACGACTGCCCTGATAAATCCGACGAGCATGACTGCCGGATGATACCTTGTCGAAAAGGCAACTCGATACATTTACTATCTGAGATAATTGTTACAGATTTCACAGACATTTCGACATAATATTTTATAAATGTTTTTGAACTGTTACTTAATAATATATTTTTAAGTATTAAAATTGTGATGTAGAAACATTATTTTTAATGTTTCGATCAAATATTCGATAAACAGTAACAGTTGTATGCAACATGAAAAACTACATATTTGAAAACGTTACACGTTATAAAATATTATTGTAATAACGTTGTGTTAACGATTTCTCGCTTGGGATTTTCTACTGGGATTAAATGAAGCGATGAAAGAAACGGATTGCATCGAATTAAATTCGCATAATCCTTCTTTTATTTACCTTACAGACGAGTTCCAGTGCCACGAGGGAAGTTGCATATCGAGTTCTCTAGTATGCAACGGCCATTTCGACTGTTCCGATACTTCCGACGAATTAAACTGCGAAACACATGAGTGCCTTCCAAGCGAATTTAAGTGCGACATTGGAAAATGCATTTCGATACACTGGAAATGCGACGGCCAAGTACGTCCGTGACTATTTTGAATTATAAAATCACAATTACAATTCGAATATTTCACTACGCATAACGCGCTCACTATAGTAATTTTACTTGTTCTAAATATATCGAGTTTCCCCAATCGGAACTAGCTTCAAAGCTTTTTCCGTTCGCTCTCTACGTTTAGAATGCAATGACGTCACTTTGGATAATCTTCGTGTTTTTACATTTCAGATCGATTGTTCAGATGGGACAGACGAATCCATAAAGATCTGCAAGACGAACGTGTGCAATGACGGGCAGTTCAAATGCACCAGCGGTCGTTGCATATCTTCTTCAATGAAGTGCGACGGCTTCAATGATTGCGATGACGGAAGCGACGAGCAATATTGTCTAAGCGGAAAAAATGGTCATACTGGTAATTGCACCGACGACGAATATCCGTGTTATAACACAGATATGTGTCTCCCGAAAAGGGTGAGGTGAGCTGATCCTTTAAGAATAGTATAGAACATTCGGGGCGAGCGATAAGCGCAAACAATAAAACGCTGGTATCGATTCCAGCTAGACTATTATCTCCCTTGTGGAGGTGAGAAGGGGGATAATTATAACTTCATTTATCTGCTTACAGTTACAGTTTGTTACGTAGACATAGCCAATCGCAGCGACTGTCGGATATATGTGCGGATTATAAATAATTATATTCTAAATAAAAATTGTTTGTCGTTTCCTCTCTTTCCATAGGTGCAACGGTGTCCAGGATTGCCCTAAGAATGACGACGAGCACAATTGCGCATACTGTTTCGAGAACGAATTCGTCTGCGACAATACAAAATGTATCCCGCAGAGCTGGGTATGCGACAAATTCGACGACTGTGGCGACAGATCCGACGAGAAAGAGTGCGGCAGAAATAATTGGAATAATGTGAGAGTCAAGATGAGCAAATGTGAAGAGTTCATGTGTTCTAACGACACTTGTCTACCGTTTAGCAAAGTGTGCGACGGTGTGCAAGACTGCCCGGATGGTAGCGACGAACAGAAAAAATGTTGTATGTAACTAGAAATTTCTAATTGACATAACATAACAAATAATTGTCATTGATCTATTCGGGGATACAAATTAATGTCTCTGTGTAATTAATCTTCAGAGTGCAAAAATTATAATTATTATTATAACTGCTCTCCCAGCACGTGAATATTCCATGAATGTTCTATGAATTTATTATGAATATTTGTACATTTATAGAAAGTATTATAAAAGCACTGTTAAATGTCTTTAACATATTCGAGTGATACTATTATAAACGTTCTATGAATGTCCTGGTGGAAATATTTTGCTGAAAGTACTATGAAATCGATGAAAAGTGAAAATTATGAAAATTATAGAAAAATTACTGACTATATTTCAAAATAAATCATAATTTTTCTTACGAATAATTTAATGTAATTCTATGAAATATAAGGAAAGTTAAATTGTACTGTTGAAAAATAATAACAAATTTTTGGAAGTATTAAATATCATGAAATTTATTGAATCTAACTGATACCTGAATTTTTACTGAAATAAATTGATGGAATAATAGTGAAACTGAGAGAGAATTTCAAATATATTTAAGCAAAATCTCATTATATTTTCAGTAAAATATTCCATCAAGATGTATATAGAATATTTTATTCAATGTGTGGGCAAGTGTCTGGGAAGATCCTGGCACTAAAAGACGAAAGCAGTTGCACGCGCAGATCTCAATTTCTAATTAAATACGTATATCACAGAGTGCATCCATATATAGGACTGTTTATTTTTCAATTAAAGCAATTAATTGCACGTGTGCAGTGAATGAATCTTTCAAAAATGTTCTTTTCTATCATGAATATACGAATCTTTCTGGCTGAAATATTTTACGTATATTCGTAGAACATCCGATTCGAATATTCTGGAATTAAGAACATTCATATTTTACAAGAATATTTCATCGAATATTTCGTGCTATTCGAGCTTATACATGCAAAATCTTCTTTTTCTGAAACGCATAAGAGCGTCCTATCATGAGAAGAACCTTTTCGATCGCGTGCTTTAAAAAAATGCTTGGCAAAAATTCGCGGAAGCTGAGATTTGTTCGTTCGGCAAATGCTTGTAGAATATATATAAACGTTTTTCTACGCGATATACACGGTGTGTTATTTTTCCGCGCAGCAACATCGTGTGGGCAGAACAATCGCTGTCACGGTTTGTGTCACAAGACGCCTCAGGGTGGAGTTTGCGATTGCATAATGGGATATCGCTTGGCTGCCGACATGGTGTCCTGCGACGACGTAAACGAATGCGAACGCGAGGTTTGCTCACAGTTGTGTCATAATACCATGGGCTCTTTCACGTGCTCGTGCTTCAACGGATACGTTATACGCGACGATAAGATCTCTTGCAAAGTCATCGGTAAGAAGTCTCGGTTGAATCTTCCTACGAGTCATTCCGGAAATGAATATCGATCGGTAATCATCTAGGACCGCCGATGGAATTGATCACCGCCACCGATAGAGACATCAGGAAGATATCATCGAATGCACAATCAATCGATGTGATCCATCCGTTATCGGGCCTCAGAGTAAGCGGTCTCGATGTGAACGCGATCGACGACGCGATTTATTGGAGTAACCGTTAGTATTTGTTTAAATTTTGATACATTGACGCGCATTGACACGCGCAGTGTACCTACCGAAAGAGCGGAGATATCGAAAAGGAACCTTTAAGAGCCGCTTTGAAAATGTCCAAGAAATCGTAGGCACTTTTGAAAAGTCTTAGTATTGTCTGTAAATGTGTAAATGACGAGGGAAATAATTGCAGATGATTTGGGCACAATCAACAAGCTCAACGTCAAGACGAAGGAGTCGAGGTTTGTCACGGGCGTCGGGAACCCGGAAGTTCTCGCGGTCGATTGGGTTACTAATAATATCTACTTTAACGATAACAATCGGCCGAACACGATCAAGGTCTCTTCTCGATTATTAGATCAATCTGTAAGATCAATGTCTAATTATTAATTTCGTATATTAATTGAAGGTGTGTAACTTGGAGCAAGAAAAATGTGCGACAATAGTCAAGATAGAAGGTGTTGGTAAGGTAACGTCTCTCGTAGTTGACCCAAATAATAGGTATCTATATTCATTATGCTGTGTACTCTTACTTTCGTTTACCCAATCCAGAATCTCACGAAATTTGGAGTATCGTTCGGTGTTTCAGATGGCTGTTCTGGGGTCAAACCAGCTGGCAAGTGTACGACAAGCCATTCAGTGAAATATATCAAACGGACATGATGGGCTCCAACATGAAGATAATTGCTTCTCGACGTATAGGCGTCGTGAATGGATTGGCAATCGATCACATGAAATCTAAACTGTACTGGACGGACAGCTTTTACAAAACTATCGAGTCATCTGATTTGGATGGGACTCAACGTAGGACATTCTTGAAAACAGTATGTCGAAGGATATCGTTATTTCGAGGCTTCCAAACTCGTGAACTATAAAATATACGAGATGTTCTCGCCTGGTATTCAAGCACGAATGTGCCACAAGCAAAACGGCATTAATAAGTAATCGTCCGATAACCGATTCTTCGATCTTTAGGTGCATCAACCGTTAGGTATCAGTATTTTCGAAAATTCGCTGTATTGGCTGATGGGTTCAAACGGCCGATTGCAAAAGTGCAAGCTCTACGGCGAAAAATCGTGCGAATCGATAAACATAGGCTTGGACAATATCCACAAACACTTCGCCATCCTACACGTTTCTAATCATCCTTCTGGTTGGTATATTGTTCCTATCTAAAAAAGAAACCAGCGAACGCAGTAAAAATGCAATTGAAAAATAATATTTCACTTGATGCCTGTTATACAGTTGGGAATCCTTGCAAAAATCTGAAGTGCGGCTATATGTGCGTTTTGACGGATAAAGATGCGGCATGCATTTGCCATGACGGTAAACCGATAAAGCCTAACAACGTCTGTCGAGCAGATACTCCGAATGATAAAGAAATGTTCGCGTCGAACGAAACCAATACTCGATCAAGACCCATTAGACACTACAACAGCACCTTTAGCGGAATATTCATCGCGTTGGCGATCATTATATTGGTTCTAACCGGTATCTTTTACTACCAAAAACATAAATTAAAGATGGCAGCACTGAACAAACTTAGGTGCGTCCTAAATTCAGATTTGATTAGAAATCGATTTTCGATATTATTACTTGCGTGTAATTAACGCGTAACAATATGATGTAATCTCAACAGTATCCGCTTCCAAAATCCATCGTACGATCGAAGAGACGAAGTTACGGCGACGATCATTTCAACGGCTTCAAATTCAATATCTCCCGGAGAACACGAATATACGAATCCTATCAACGAAACATTGTTAATGGTATGAAGTAATAATGTATTATCTAATGTGGCATTATTTCTTGTACATTTCAATTACATAATCCGTGCTCGTATAATGTTTTACGCTACACACAATCGCGTCTAATATTGAAACATTTTCAATATTTCTTTTTTTGTAGATTGTGGAGGAAAATGAGACAAAGCAGTCAGAAACGGCGAATGTAAGTCAATTGGGACAAGAAGTCGAAGCAATCCACACGAAACAAGACACTCTCATTTCTTTCATGCGATAAAAGTGATCCAACGTTATCAGCGAAAAGCATCGGAACTTAATATTAAAATTGAATTTTTAACAGTCTTTAAATAGCTTTAAAGAATGTTTCAATTGATGTCATTACAATAGTGACACAAATATAAATAGATTTAATGTAATATAATGTAATATATATAATATATACATATGCATATATAAATAATATATCTCTGCTATATATCAGAAATACAATTACGACACAATATTGTCACACGTTAAAAAATATGTTCGGAAACGTTTTTCTCCTCAACAATACACTCAAAGTATTTAAGATATACTCGAACATGTAAGAGTAATTTGGATAAAAACTGTCTAAATTGAAAAAATATGTTTAGGAATATTTATATATTAGGAATGCAATATTTTGAGTATATCCTAAATACTTTGAGTGCATTGAGAAGGAAAATGTGGCTATATAAAATTTAGGCAAAATTTATAGCCTCATTTAACAAAATCTACACGATATTGTTTCTTTACATTTGAACATATAGCCAGTTTAAAATAAAATATACAAAATTCGCGAATATAAATATATTTGGGTAGTATTTTATATAGCTACATTTTTCTTCTGAATGCACTCAAAGTATTTAGGATGTACTCAAAGTACTGTGACAATATTGAGAAGAAAAACGCGGCTATATAAAATATTGTCCAAATATATTTATATTCGCGATTTTCGTGTATTTTATTTTAAGCTGACTATATGTTCAAGTGTAAAAAAGCAATTGCATTACCGTATTGTAGATTCCGTTAAAGGGACTATAAATTGCTAAAAAAAATCTGTACATATATATTTATCAAAACATAATGTACATACTCACATATATATTATCTATTGTTATGCATAAAAATACATTTTTACAATTCTATATAAAACAGTTCTATCTGATACAATAAAACTTTTATTTTGTATAACAAGATAGTCAACAATTTAAACAATAATTATAATAAACTCCATTTTTTACTCATATATATATATATAGCACTGCTACATTAAAAAAAAAGATAGTAATTTAATTAAAGATTTAGTAATATCCATATTTATATATGTATAAACTAAATTACATTAATGAGGATTATATATATATGTGTAATTTAGTTTATACATATATAAATATGGATATTACTAAAATTGAATTTTTAGTCTATTATTATATGCAAAATTTTAAGAAAATTTTGTTATTACAATGCTATCAAAAGTATTTATTGTTTTAACAAAAAGAGAAATGCCATCAATGTTACTTTGTCTAATATAAGAGAGTAAAAGAAAGGAGACTAAGTAGACCTGACCCTCGGAATTTCTTGAAAAGTCCAACTAAATGTTGAAACCTGAGTTTTCGTATGAGCGATAAAACATTAACAGAGATGCTAGCGCATTCATAAATCACATTACAATTTGTGCTATCGTCATTGTATTATCGTCTCAACTAAGATAAGGACTATCAAGCGCACCAACACCCGCTACTATTCCACCTTCATTTTCGGTCGATGATTTAGTCCTCAAAATATGGCCAACTTCTTCATTCAGTATTATTTGTTTGGCATCTCTAAAATATATATACGGATATGATGTTATGTTAAAGGTTATTCAACAATTACGTCACGCTAAATTTGGGTATTTTTTAATCTTCTTTCCCTTTCGTCACAATTTCGTTACAATTTGCTCCCCTTCCAATATTACGTGACATGTGAAAATATCAAATTAATTATTTTATAATTTTGATTAGTAAACCATTTTTTTTTTAAATAAATGTTTAAAAATTAATATTTTGATCATTAACACAAAATAACGTTAAAATTAAAAAAATTTTCTCTAAATGTGTCACGAATGCAAACAAAGTGGATAACCATGCGCATCCATATTTATAAGTTATGCTACCAATGTGACGTTCCTTCACTCCCCCCTCTCTTCCATCGCAGACTTTCACATAAGCTAATAGCCCCTCTTCCCCCCTCGTGATATACTTGTTGAATGGCCCCTTTCTGCTATGTTTAATTTTATCTATTTTTTATCATAGTGTGTGTGCGCGTGCTAATCGCGTCTTTTTATGTGCACTTACCCCACTACAACTCCATATATGCCAAGTTCTGCCACAACATCCGATAAACTGACTTTACTTTCTGATATCGGTTCCTGCGCAGCGCGTATCAGATAGTTCGTCTGTAACGGAGGATAAATGCGATCCATGAGAATCCATGCTGTTCTCTCGTTTTTATTTTTCATAGAATTCAGACACGTTCTTATGTCGTCGTTATATATATTGTTTCCTCCACCTTCTCGTTGCGGTTTAAGGACAAACTTTTTTGGCTCACTTATAGCCATTGTCACTGCCTTTTCTCCGTCATCGTTCTGTTGTTAAAACAAATATATTATTCAACTTGGCTGAGTTAATGCTTGTGATTTGCATAAGCATGAAGTCCAACGTAAATATATCGATTAATCAATAAATAGATGTCTTACGAAGTCTAATGTATATAGGCCGGCAAATACTTCTTGCACTTTAGTAACAGAATCTTCGTCCTTTAAAAATTTCTTCAATACGCTCGATTGAGCCAGAGATTGTTGTACCTAAAAACAAAGATATCGAAATATATAATAGCAAGAAATTTAAGAGATATTCTCAATATGTATATCTTATATATTATTTTGTATTAAACAATACACACCTTCTTAGTACCTGCTAAGTGATACTGTATTGACGGGCATTTTATTGCTCGTGAACGCTCTATTAGCAATCTTATATCCCATTCTTGAGCAGTAGGATAAGCCTCGAGTTGGTAACCAGAGCGATAGTAAACTACAGCTACTACCATATTTTCACTAAAACAGTTAAAACAACGTATATTTCAAATGTTCTCTGAATTATATGCTAATTTTCAAAATATTTGGACTGAAAATCTTTATATTATATAAATACGTTGACGTAATCAAAAACACGTAAATTAAAATTAAGAGATTATAATACCTCAACTACTATTTGTAAACTTACACAATTAATTCCTTATTTGGTCCTAATTTTATTTCAGATTCAGATATTAAGCTTGTTAAACTTCTTCTAATAATCTTGATCTGCGGATTTAATCGACGAATTTCAAATTCATGAAACCTTTGATCGCATATATTATAAGTCACATCTTCGACAACAAACAATATAATAGCCCTGAAACATTTATGTATCCATAAATCTTATTTAAAAAGAAATATAGAACATGAAACAAGAACTTTTGTAATGCTTAACCTACTCTTTATTATTATACAGTTTCCATGCTGTTGTTAATCCATTGCAAAATCCAGTAAGGCTATTGTTTTCTGGAATCTTATGGAAAATAATGAATTAATCATAGTTTACGAGATATCTTTTTTTTAAATGTAGCAGTGCTACAAATATGTATACAATATGATAAATTTAATTGTAAAAATGTTAAAACTATAATTTAAACATAAGTATAAGAAGCAAATAAGAGCCAAATACAGATATGAAGTTATTATTGGTACAATAATTGTGTACAATATAAAATTTTAATCAAAGCAAGATTAGAAACAAACTATGTTTGGCTCTTACTTGTCTCTCATTTATGCTTAAATAAAACTTATGTTGTAATATAATGAGCATACAATTGCTACAATGTAAGTGACAATGCAATCAACTATATTTTATGAAAATATTCTGAAGGAATAATTAATTTTTTTTAACTTACATTTTTTGTTTTTTCTGCATATCCCAATTCTGCTAATATATACCTGAAGTAAATTCATCATCAATATACATTCTTTCTTAAATGATATATATCTTTTATGATAAAAACTTTTACATTGAATATTTACTTATGGTATTGCGATGTAATACTAGCTATACCAGCAAAACTAGATGCTATCGTATTTATTTCAACCTGCTTTATTTTGCTGCCTGACTCCCCATGTAACAAATAATCTGATCTTAATAATCCAAGGCTTATGTTCTAAAAAAAATCCAAAACATTTAATATCATCATAAACAATATCCACGTGACTAAATACTATCACCACTATCCAATGGTGATAACTATTATTGGATGTTACATACTTGACCGAAACCCTCCTGATGTACAGTCTCATATATATGGAATAATTCTGCTGTAAACGGATCAGCTTTGATCGTGCTATTACACAAATATATAATGCTGCATTAAAATAAAAAAAAAAGGAACATATACGATTGTAGCTTTAATAATAATACCTTCTTAAACTATTTGTAATAAATTCCTTATCATAAGCAACCTTATGGATAAGTTCGTTCAATAGAGTTTGTACACTTTTGGCAGTTTCAAAGCTCTTTCTAGGAAAACTCGTTGGTAATAGCGCAAAAGGTAATATCTGTACTTGGTCTGTGTTAGGATTCTCCTTAGATCGCATACTTATACCTGTAACATTATAAAATTTTGGTATATAAATCTATGATTAAGACAAATAATACTGATTGATTTTATAATTGTACGTAGTCTCAAAATTGTTATACTTAAATCTATAAGAATAACAGAATTGCGAAGGCAAATGTGTGTTATGTAAGTTTCACGTGTCTAATTACTAAGTAGAACTTCATTTTATCAGTAACAAAAGATATCATTACCATGCATAAGAGCCCAGTCTTTCGCCTTATCTACAGTTTGCGTTAGTTTCTCCTTTGAGAGGGGAAGTTGTATGCAAGGTTCTACCCGAGATACACTCATAATGAAATAATTGAGTTAAATGACAATTCACGCGTGAAATTCTTCTTGCGAAATTGTACACACAACCAGCTACAAGTTCGAATGTCAACTGCTGTCAACAGAGTTCGAACAGATAAAGCGAGGTACGATGAAAGCCGACATTAGTGCCACCTCACGCTAAATCGGACAATCAGCATAACTAAACGTAGATAAAAAGGATTTCTACCGAATATACACATATATTTTATTTATTTAACAATAATCACTGACAAATTTTATCTACATCTTTATAAACAATTTATTTCATGATGGAACTTTTATAAAAAGCTGATAAAGCTTAATTTCGCAGAAAATTTTATTTCTTGCGTAATAACTGTTTGATCATTATAATGATTTGATGTAAATAAATTTTATAGCATTAATAATTTTAACATATTTACAGATACTGAATTAATTAAATTAAATTAAGTTTATAATTTTGTAATTGTGCGATATATCGAATGTAGGTCACACATTTATCGATCCGTTCGTATCTATGATAGTAGAGAAATATATCGTTTAAAAAATATTGTTTAACTTCACATATTTGCTGCCGTGGATATGTTTTATAATTTGGCTGTTTGTGACGGTAGCACGTTTTTTATAGCGAAACATCTCATGCGAAACTTCCATCTTCTATTTCATCGTAAATGCCCTTTTAAAAAGTTTAAAAAGTCTGATAGAATAGGGAAGAAGAAATCAATATAATTGAATCATCTTCTCGATTTATAAATTAGAGATTTCTTATCTGACACATTCGATAAATTTTTTATCCATTTTTCTTATATTAATACATATATTGAGGTCGTCATCGATCAAAAATGATTAATTTCTTATCTGTCAGATTATATTACTTGCGAAAGATAAGATACAATCCTTATTAAGTATATTATCTATTCACAAAATTCATATAAGAATATTTTTCACCTAAAACTAATAGATACAAATTAACATAGGATCTTAATTTGTTAGTTAAATGTAAGAGAATGTTTAATTAAATGGAAAAATATGTACGTTTAGGCAAAACGAAATATTATCAGAGTTGTGTAGAAATTGGTTACTATTATTATTAGGATGATTAATTTGTATAAATTATATTGTTATGTATTATATATAACATTAGCTTTATTATCCAGATGTTTCACAGATATACATACGTATCCACAATGCAACAATATTATTATATATTTCTGCAAAACATTGCACTCTCATTGTTGCCATCTATTTGAATTGCGCGCGCGAGGCGCTGCTTCGAGCGCGCGGATACTTCGAGATATCGCAACTATTGCGATATGTACAGTCAATTGTATTACAAATGGCGGCACGTCACTTCGGATTCGAGAAGTCGTTCTATACTTTTTGAGGTTTCCGCTCATTGAAGATGAGTTTAGCGCGCGAATTGTCATCGCCGGACCCATCGAACGTAAGTTTCGAGTATTCGTCGTGACGAAATCTCGCTAAATAATCGCCGAAGATAAATATTTAGTGGGACGCGGCATTGGGAGCGTCGAATGAGGTTCGGTTAGCCATTGCATCGCGACTGTCTGACGTTCAAATTGCATTTCACATTTCCGAGCGATCGAAGAAGCGTCCGGCACGCGAGTTTTCAGTTTTCGAGAATGCCGAAGGTAAGTCTTTATCCTGTCGGAATATCGCCAACTAGCTAAAGGTGTATAAAACGCGAAACAGTTCATGGAAAGTGTCGAATGAAGTATCGAGATATTTCGAGTAACTTTGCCGCTCGGCGTTCAGTCAGTTCAGTTGTAAAACGGTTATCGCGTGAAAGTAACGTATTCGAGAGATCTTTCCGTCTTTCTCGCGATTTCAATCCGCTGTTACGTGAGTCTCACGCGCGAATTGTCGCTACCGGGAGTGCCGAAGGTAAACTTTGCACGTGTGCTGTAACAAAACATCGTCAAGCAGGTGAATGCGGAAAGCAGCGAATGTTTCGCAAAATGGCTGACAGGGGAATCAAGCAAAATGTCATCATATCGTGGCAATTTTGGGGGAGTTCCAATGATCGCGTTCCGCATTTCCCAAACACCGGGAGAACAATCGGTGAGTACTTGTAAAGTAGACATTCTTCTTTCACCATAATGAAATATATTAAGAAATTTATTGTCTGAATTTATTCCCTCCACTATACGGGTAAAGAGAAATTCCAAAATCGATTGTCAATTGCAATGACTGGAAATTTATTATTTAGCAAACGGGAATTTTCTCAATTCCTTTACGTATTTCTTTGTTCATGGTAAATTCATTGTCACGCGTATCATCCTGTTTCTCGTTAAATGAGATATTCTATATAAAAAAAAAGAAGAATTAAGGAAACTGTTTCGATGATATCTCATGTATAATAGTATAACGTAAAATACATAATCAAATCAATCTTTATTTCAAGTATGTTTGGAGATATTATCTTGTACATATTATGACATTATAATATTAAAATATACCGACAGAACGGTGATATGATCATCGGCGACGTACGATACTCACACAGTAAAAAAACGTTTCGCTTGTGTTCGGCCCTTGTTGAAATTTTCCGTCAAATTTTTAATATATCCGTGTGTTACTTTAACATATTGAGGTGTTTACACCACCTTAATATTTTGTGTTGAGCCCGTGTTTAACATATGTAAGTGTAAAATATTATAATAATTTACTTATACTTCAGTGTGTCGATTAACATATTATAAAGATTAATTTAGCGTTAATTTTTGGACGTAATACTTGTGTGTTATCATTTGAGCATATTTATTCTCTATTAAATTAACACAAAAATTTATGTGGACCATGCAAAATGTGTTAAATTTGACACAAAACATTTTACCGTGCGGTGTACAATCAGCACTTTTGAAATCTAACGAATTATTCCATTGATGCGATATTCCACGGCTCGTTGCGGCTGTGTGCAAAATGCAAATTAACGGTTTCTTTCGCCTATGCCGCGTACTGAAAGAGAAACGCGGACGGCGTGCGGATGGGTATCAATCTTTGATCGCCGCCGCGATCTATCACGACGTAATAATCGCGCCCGTTAATAAAATGCCTCTTGCCCTGAACGATATTGTGCGGAACGTTCTGGTACAGCGGCCTCACGCTTCTCTTCTGCAAACTGTTCCGGCTGTCGAAGAAACGATTCTTCGTGATGTACACCAGTTCCGGGGTCGCAGCTGCCTTCGGCTGCCGCCGTTTCGATTTGCAGCAACTGAAGTCGCAACATTTGCCGATCGTCTTCCGTCGTTTGTAACAGTTTGTGGTACATCTAATCGTTAGCTCGACGAGGAAAACCACCGCTGCGATCACGTATCCACCAGCCACGACCTTGTAGGTCAGCGACAGGTCGGAGTTGGTCAGTTGCCGTTCGGTGGACCGAAGATCCACCGGGCATACTTCGGCGAGCGGTAGGTCTCTCAGCTTCGCGCGCCTTATTATGCCGGCCTCCACCAGAGCCATCAGCCTAAGACACATTCGATAATTAGAGATTACTTAGATATGTGTTATGCTATTTAAATCGCATCACGTATTATACTTCGGCTATACACAGATGCACTAGTAATTAGATACATTCTTATTTGGGCGTATCGATTTCCTAATCGCGATAATTGGACGCTTACTCTTTATTGATCGGTGCCTCCAAAGAAGAGCCTATGGGGAAGGCGAAAGCTCGACTGGTAACGAGGATCGTGTTAGGCATAATGACGTATGTACACTTCTTCTGATGCTCCAGACGCAGGCGGGTTTTGTTGACGTAATCCTCGAATATCAGAGTCTGAAGGTAATGGGTTTCCGCGAGGAACAGTTTGTCTAAGGGTTAACATCACGTTTTCGTTTATCATTAAGACGAGTTTCGAGTTCTGAGTGAACGGCACTACTCACCCTTGTCGACCGCGTTGAGAATTGCTCTAACCGGGTATTCGTGCGCCGAGATATAGTGACCCTTCCATCTTGTAGAATTCAAAGGAGTCAATTCGTCCGGGTGATACTGAAAATGTTTAAACATTTCATTCGGCAATTATCTTGGAACGCTTCGTGCTGTAACATGCGTTATTTCTCTAAGCCAACAGAGTATATATCTTGATCTTTCATTCTTTTCATTGTCACACAGAAAAATAGTTTTAAATCAATGATAAACATTCTCATATTTAAACAAGGATATTCTATTATTTTTAGAAGATTTTTAATCTTAAATTGTAAGTAATACTTGCGTTAATACAAATTCAACCAAGATTAAAAATCCTGTAAGAAGATTATAATATTCTTGTTTACATATTGAAAATATTTATCATTGATTTATATAACTAATTTTCTTTTTATGCGATAATACTATTTATTATTTAATCACATCATCTGATAATAAGACTAAACAATAGTAATTAATTTATTAACGTTTTTGTGAGATTTTGCTTAATGAAAGCCACTTGCACGGTAGGCTTAACGTGAAAGATTGAAAAATTAGGCGTGCAAATGCATACTTGAGAGATCAAATATTCGATCGTGCGTCCTTTGTGAGCGACCCAACGATAACCTTTGCGCACTATATCATTCAGAGAGTTGATCGGCAAAGTGAACTGCGGCCTCGTGAGAAACGCGGTGAGATTCGCCGTATAGAAAGACGTCAATATCAAGATGAATATCCACCACGTGGCGAAGAGAATCCTCGTTGAGTCTGCAAGAGATAAATTCGCGAGCCGAGCAGATTCTTCTCGATAACGCGCGATAATGCTAATGCAAGGTACTAACGAGTATGTGTCGCGTCCGCCGCATTTGTCGCTTTCAAATTACCGCAAATAATCGCTTCGACCATCGCAGTATAATCGTATACAAATCATACCTGCATTTCCGTGGAAACGCGATGGCATTCGGATATAGTTGAAGGGTCTTGTTTTTCGCTTAATTCTCAGTATCGCGAACCGTAAATATGAGTGCGAATTAAAAATAAAATTGTCATCCGCGTGACATACGACGCATCGATCGAGATATTAAAAGTCAGGAAGATATAAGGCAGTCTCGCGTACCTGTTGTCGCAATTATGCTCGTTCCCTGCTTCAACAAAGAACTGTACACGAACCACACACAGGAGAACAGGCTATAATTCTCCGAGTCAGGATCGCCCCACAATTTCGCCCTGTAAAATCAACGATGACAATGAGCGCGGAACACCTTTTTCTCCCTCATAGAACTCCGTTTACAAGTCAATGATCGATTCGATATCGATGATTAATTTTTCGGACCAATCAATTTGATATATATATATATATTGACTGGTTATTGACAATCTAGTCTATACTTAATCGGTGTCACATCCCTGCCGTTATATCTATATATCAATTTGATATAGATATAATATAAACTGAATAACATCTAGATCGTCAATATCTATATAATATCTCTTAGATATCGCGATGAAATCTTACAAATGTCAAATCGAACATTGATTTCCATATGATTTCGATTTGACCTCTACTACTATGATATTGACCGAATTTTTTATCCACATGATGTGAATCAAAGACACGCTTTTGATTTACAATTTACCGTTTTTTTCTTTTTGTTTCTTCTTCGATATTCAACAAACCTGAGTGTAGCGAAGATGTAGATTATCGGTCCCACTGAGAGTACTGAAGCGAGTACCAGTAGCCAGACAGTTTGGTTAAACGGTGCGAGCAATCCCGAACCGGTCGCCGATTCTTGCGGTCGCTTCATCAAGGCTGTCAGTTCACTTTGATCCAAAGCTATGCTGAACGTGCAAAATTTTCGCAACTCCGGCAAAGTTGGCAAGAAAGCCACAGCCATGTCCACCTTCTGTTCAAACAAGAACATTCTACGTTTCCCCTCTCGTCGAGATTATTTCGAGATCTACTTTTCTTCTACTTCTCTTCGGCGAAAATTTAATCTACGTCTGATCTCGCGCACAGAGACAGTTAATTGAGTATTACATTTTCGCGCTGAAAGAAACTAACTCGGCTCCTTTTTTTGAATTGTTCAACGACACTCAAACGCGAATCGAAGACGTCTACCGTTCTGAATAATAATTAAGGACGATAGTTCTCACACAGAGTGAAAGGTATCTTACCTTCTCGTAAAGTAAACTTAGTATTCCATTCCGTTTGTTGCCCAACACGTGTTGGTTCGGCGGTACGATGGTGTACGTGAAATTTAATTTGGAACTGAGCAACCTGAGCAAATAAAACGCGTAGCCCTTTCCCACCCATGTACCGTTCTTCATCACCAGGCCGGAAAATGGCATGTCCTATAACAATTTTATACTATAATAATGCTTGACTAACACATCATATACTTAATATTCATTAATTCACATAGCAATCGTAATCTTAATTACTCGTTATGAGCGCGATTAAATCACGAACACGGACAGCTGCATTCAAGGAATAATTCGATACGCATTTTTCCATTTGATTACGTCACTCTTATGTGTGTGTGTGTGTGTGTGTGTGATCAAATTTTACATTCAAATCGATGCTCAACTTTGATGCTGTCTTAATTTATTGCACCTTTGCACGTGCGCTATCATAGAGTATCGCGATCAATTCATGTATAATTCAGTGCGTATTTAAACGTACATCTACATTTTAATGTTCAATACCGTCTCGCACGAGCTCGTGGACGGGCATCCGATGAAGATTGCAAGATGCGCAGCACGTCGGCGTATGTCAGAATAGTGGAATAGTAATGCTTATTAACAAACACGATATTCATGTAACGCGACAGCCCTAACAACACGCTCGATTACAGATCAGCGCTCTTTGTTTAGAGCGTCACGCGAGACACGCGATGTCATCGCAAAGAAATTCTTCGATTTCCGACCGTGCACACAGTTGTTGTTGCGATTATTACGATCATTCCGCTTAACTTTTCTCCTGTGGAGCGTCGCGAATTTTCAATGGTTTCCTTCGAAGTACGAGGTGCACGACGATTCGAAACACGAGATAGGCGTTAAGAATCGAGTATAGCGATACACAAATGCAAAGGTAAAGGAAAACGAAAAGATCCGGGAATTAGATAACTCGTGCTTTTCTTCTGCAAAGACTCGAGCACTTTTACGTCGCATTCTGACCTAGTATGATCATTGATTCTTTCTCAAACGTCCTCGCACTTATGTGTTATTCGGAATTCAATACATGATTGCGACCGCATTCAGGGTTGTAAATTGTACATAGAAAATTGCAGCGCATTTTTGCAGCGGAAGTGGTCGCCGTTACTGAAAGATACGAGTCACGTGCGACGCATGTCCAACGATTTTGCGGGTCGCGTGTTGCGTTTGGCTTTTTTCACATAGGAATAACGTAAAAGTAGGACGTTTCGATCAATTTTTGATCAATAAATCATGCGACGGATTGTCGTTCCAGATATGCGATATGTAGGTGTGGATATACTAATATAAAATCTTACAAGTACAGCCACGAATCGTCATCGTGGAGCAAATGCGTGGGCAATTTCGTCGCGATAAAGGTGCCGTAAATATTTCCTCTGTCAGGTATGCTGCTATATCTAAAGTTACACCGTGACATTTGCGCCGTCCTTCGTCGTCAAACGAAGTCGTAAAAATGCGCACTTAACGTCTTCATTAAGGGCGCGATAAAACCAAACGTACGCTCGCATACATTCCGCTACAGCTATTCCGCAGTTGTAACCGTCCGCATCATCAACGTGACGTTAAGTAAAACTTTAATTGATTTTCAACTCGCGATTAAAATCATTTGATTACTGCAAAATTATTTGGGACTTTAATTGTTCATCAAACGAGTATGTGTGTATACGTCCGGAATGGATGCATTTTCAATCGACGACGAGCCGATTTAGCCTAGACTATTCAAATAATTATGTCAAGTAATTACGAAGCGCAATTTACCAAATCTTGTCGGTGTAGCATCGGCGAATCGCCCCGTCAAATGGCGTTAAGTTACGTCGAGGCCGCTGTTATATCAAGAAGAAGCTACGATGGGCACTGGGCAAAGTAAATGGAAACAGTCCTTATTGGCTTCGTTATTCCGCTCGTGCGCATTCTCTTACCAAGGAATAAGCGTGCGAACGATGCTTTTGGGACACTTGCGAATATGTATACAATAATGAGGACGTTTCTATATCAGAACCGATCTTATTTTCTCTTTCGAAGATCAATCTCGATAATTATTTAACGCAGGTTAAATGATATGTCTCACATATGTAATCGTGCTTCATTCCCGAGAGAGATGTACGTATTTTTCTCGTTATTCGTATCTTTTCTGACGTACTGATACGTGTGCTTTTCGGGCAGATGTACGTGTCAAAAATAATTTTTTTCCGAGCGAGATAAATACGCGTGTATGTGTACAGTACATGTGTATTGTATATGTGTACAGTTAATAAAGAACAGCTTGGATTTCTCGCGCTCGGATTTCCATTCAAGAGACGCTTCACTTTCCGACATTTTTTCCTACGGTATTAGATTGTAACTGTCAAACTTACGTTCCACGATGTTATTTTCACTTCCGCGGGTATCGTTGACTGCTCGGAATACGGTTCGTCCGTGGTCGTGCCATCTGAAAACACAATATTGTCTTCCATAAAGTTAACCGCTAATGATACGTCAAACTGCACGAACGTGTCTCTCCGGTTTTTAGCTCAATAGTAGCGCTACCTCCCACGAGAATAATAATACTCAGATTTTAATCTTAATATTCTTAAGTATCATTAGGATCGTCCGGACGGTGGATGAACTCGCGCGCGATAATTGCATTGGTTTATTATTCGAATGAGACATCTTCCTCACAATGTCGATTTACCGTCCAAACAGAGTGACTTTCCTCGCAAAGCTTTCAAAGTTACTTAACGATCTCGTTTCCGTAGAACTGCATTTGTACTTAATACCATTACATGTCTACCTTCCCTGGGAGGGAAAAAGATTCTTAACTTTAATAAAATTGCGATAAATTATAAATGTGAAAACCTTTCAAGCAATCTTCCTCATTCGCTAATTGTCTTCTTAATAAAGGACTCACTTTGTCCGTAGCTGGTACGATGATATGTCACGAAGATTAACGTGCCAAGTAAAAGCTGTCGGAAGTTGGGCATCCTTCGGTGGTATCCGCGGCTACATTTTATCGACGCGCACGTCGATCATTGGATCTTCCCCGGATAGTCAGATCTCATGTCCGGAAATGCTCCGCTCAATGTGGCATAACCAGCAGCCAGGTGAATCGATACTCGTCTGGTCATTCTGACTCGGAGGACAGCAACGTAGTGACGAACATGTCGTTCCGTTGTATGTTAGTGTGTCACGCGACCGTCCAAGGTGTCCAAAGAGGGGCAAAAGGGCGGTAGAAACCCCCGACGACGTCCCGTACGCGCGGGCGCCGTCAACCCTCGACACATCACCCGATACATCGTTCATCTTGCCAGAAGTTCCATTGGCGTTTGCATCGACTGTCCCGTCGATTGTTTTCAACGGAGGATTCGTGTGCGTTACTTCCACATGGCTAAACGAGAAAATTTATCGCTGAAAATGCGCAATTACGAAATGCCCTTTGAATATTATAAAAATTGCTTCACAATTTATGTATCAATCGCGGATCCCTCTCGATTTCGAGGAATATTTTATGAAAATCAAGCGAGACGACACTCACATTTTATGCGTAAAATTGTTTAAAAATATATTTTCCTTGAAAGTCACGCATAATTTGCCGCACGCAAAAATAGAGGAATGCATTTTACATTAATATTTTACATCTGTGCGAGATAAATATCCGACGTTGATGAAAAGGAAGGACGTGCAAATTTTATTTAATGTTTAATTACGATACCGGGGTGAGATTAATTGGCAGCACTGAATATGTTTACTGGAAAAAATACGTATGTATTTATGTATATGTAAAAATGCGTATACATCCGTATACGCTTATTCTTCAACCTCTAAGAAGAGTATTGTTTAATCCGAATTCAAGTAGTGAACAAGAAGCAATGAAAGAAGAATTTTGAAAGACAGAGAGATCTGCTTTTAAGATATGTATTAATTATCTTATAATTATATTGTGGAAGAGAGCAAATGCGCTTACCGAGTAATCAATCACGGAGAGGAGAGGAACTTTATATAGCTGATGATTGTCATCGGTTTCATTTTTCCGTGGTGAATCTGTACTTTATTTCCAAACTCACAAAATTTCTGATATTTTTTCGTAACAATGTACGGTAATCACAAATAGCACGCACGTGCAATATTCTGGAGACAAATTGAAAGATGAATGTTCGCAGACGAGGCATAAGGTCCTTGTGAAGATGCATTCATATCAGTCGGCTCGAAGGTTGTGTTAAATGTGTGCGATCAATATACGCACCATTAGTAACATTAAGCAAGTAATCATGTGAATCACCCGTCAGAGAAAATTAATAGTGATATTATTAATAGGACGTGCACGCGCGCGCACACACACACACACATACACACACACACACACATGTCAGCATATAAAAGTATAATGTAAAGTGGAATTGAGATCATTGAGATTAATCGTCTTTGATACACGTCCTCCTTAAACGCAAAGGGACCTTCATCTGTAGACGAACTAAACTAAAAAATTAATCCAAGATCAATTTCGCTTCTCTCGTAAGATTATGTGTGCGAGTGTGTATATAATCTTTCATTGCTCATACTTATATATATATAAGAGAATAAATACTTTCACGTGCGTAGAATGTCTCCGCATAATGTGCCACTTCTCTCAGAAAGAAGCACTTTAGAGTTAATGTTGCTCCACATAAGAATTATGAAAACGGCTACGATAATAAGGTGTAGGTGTCGCGTGAACAGAGAACAATTCCCATCTTGAGAATAATTTTCATATTAGTTTATCGTTGAAGTACATTTAATATACAAATCATATCGCCTGTGATCCTACGTGATATATCGCTGCTCCTCTCGCCGCAGAGTCTGAGTTGTTCGCCGCAACCGTGGCAAGGACACGTCTCAGCATCGAAGGACTGAGCGATGCGTCAGGGTCGAGACACGACCAACTGTTTAAAGAGTTTGTCGATGAGCGACACAGACATCGGAAATATAGACTCTGATTTTCGTTCTACATACGTCTCGTTCTACATTTGACTTCTGATTTACCAGAATGTTCGAATGACTCTCTCTCTCTCTCTCTTCGTTCGTCGACGAACACGAAACTACATAATCGTTGATTATTCGTATATGTCAGCCTTCTAATTGCTCATTTGTTATATTCTAGGTGTGTTTTCATATCACTTTACCTTCCTGTGTGGTAAGATCGTATCTATTACTGTTTACATCAGATTTCGAGGTCTCGTGTCTCGACCCTGACTCGTTTTCACGCTATCTTACAATCATCGCGCGGGGAGATTGTCGAAACGAAAGAACAGGCAGAAGGAGGGGGTGAAAAGGGGAGTAGTTGCGAAAGTAGAACGCGGGAAGCGTCGTCGAAATGCGATCAAGCAAGCTCGGCAGCAACGTTAGCGATATAAATCACATCTCATTATGACGATGGCACGGGACGACGGGAATGAAGAATGACAACGATGATTACGACCGGGCGATGGACAATGGGACACAATAATCTCGATGATGGTAATAATGGACGTGATTACGATAATGTAATTGGCGTCTAATCAATAACTGACGATCTTGGCGGTTATAATGACTCTTTGTGGCATCACTCAATGAGAGATAGGCAATGAATAGGCGGAGAAATGCGGCATGCTCGTGTATCGGGATTACAATTGATAATGACAAAAGTTTGACAACCTACGTACGAATACGAAAAACATCTCAAACAATATTCCGGTACGCGTATGGTTGCGCGCATGTATTCCGTTTCCGATCGAAAAATCTAAATCATCTTTCGATTTCTCTCACCAAATTTCACCATTAATATTTCCCGAATCGGTAAAAGAATCAGACGAATATTGGCGAAAAATCACGTTAGCTATTTTATACGTCATGCAATGCAACATAACAAGATGCACAACTTGAAGAATCGAACTTCCGAATTTGCACGTTGCCGAACTTTCCTCACGGCAAACAGCAACGAGGCGGGGTCGGGTACAACTTGATCTAAGTTAGCGAATTACCGTCTTTTCATGAACTTACGGACCCGTCCGCGACAGAGGCGGGGAAATTCGATTAACCGGAATAAGCGTTGGACCCCGACTTCCATACTGTCGGTCCTCGAGAGTCAGTGTAAGTTATATAAAGTGGGTAGTGCGTGAGAGTATATATTTCGGGATGGAATGTGTCCTTACGCCGGATATGCGTGACGAAGTAAACGACATGCAATTGAATTTAATCGGAGAATTTCGCTCAACAATGAGGTGAGTCGACTATTAGCACGATAATAGGTTCGCTTTAAATGTAGCTTAATATATAAAGCGATTCTCTTGTAAATCGTCGTTTCACGTCACTCTCGGGAATCGATATTGGTAGCCACACATCGAGTCTCCGTCGAGCTTGACCACGGATTCCGGTACGGAAAGCGATAAATCGGTATACGTGTGATGCGTGCTTTCCAATCGTTTTGTGCTGGCGCGTGTTATTTCGATCCTTCCCACAAAGGATATCGCTTGGAAGGCTGCGGAGCAGCGCGACATTCCTCTCGCGCATTCTCGATCTCGTAAAGAAACCTCGAATTCGGTATAAAGGGGAAAAAACGTTACAATTATGAGAAAACTGAAACGGGTGCTTCGTCGTCAGGGATTACCATGCGACTGAGACTGTATCTTTTGATTATTATATCGCGTACGTGCATATAATAATCACGGCAAAGCCGATTAAATCACGAGCAGGGTAATCGGCAAGAATATTCGCGTACGCGGAGTGGCCGAGATATAAAAATGTGAACGCGAAATCTCGCGACGATATAGTTGAAGTATAAAAAATGCAGGAACTGAGAGAAGCGCGTATTCTTGTTTCTACTTAGCATCCCATTTTGCACCTCGACTACCTTCATCTTCGGACATTAAACTATAAAATAACATGAAAAGTTGACGGATTCCAAGAGTAAAGATTTCAGCTTTCACTGTCTCTCCAATTTTGAAACGTTAATGTACACAGAGGGAAAGAAATAAATTCGTGATATTGTTAACACAAGGCTCTACTTCAGCGCCTAAACGTCGAGAAAAACGAGTGAAAATACGGACCGATGAAACGGATTATGATGCGACGAGGAATGTCCAATCCAATATCGTCCAGCCGATAAACGAAAAAAACGGTAAAGAAATATTCAGCCCCGATCGATTTCGTCGGACAAGGCAAGCATGACGTTGCGTGACATCGGCGACACGCGGGTTCTCCATTTTTTACGTGTCGCACGAGGATCGCTTCGGTGTAATTATACGTAATCATACGGTAGATACGTGTGTAGAGACCGCGATTGATCTCTCCCTTCCTCTCAACGTTGATTCTTTCTTCCGATTAGACTTTCGCGCGGGCTGATCCGCAAACGCAACTGACGACTGCCTCTTGCGACCATAAGGACGTGTCAAATATCGCAGACGAATTACTAAGCGGAGTGGACATCGAATTTCGATGCAATTTGCTATACATTTGAGAAATAAATGTTAATACAACTATTTACGCCTCCTCGACCGAACGATTTCAGCTTATACGTAAAGTTGATTCCAGCGTTTACGGGATGGTAAATTACACTTCTAACGATGGGATTGAGTATATAAATAAATAAAAAAAAGAAAAATAAAGGATATAAATCGAAATTTGGTACAATGCCGGTTTTAATTCACTGTATCAAACTATCGACAGATCAAATAAAATGATTTGTCGAAAAAACATTATGTCGCAAATACACGTTTACAGAACGTTTGAAACAGAATGATAACGCATTTTCAAATAGTTCACATATATTTATGAAATATCCCATTGACGTGGACAAGAAATAACCAGCGGACGAAGGAAGAACCTTCAAAAATGTTTTAATAATAAATATTGAGATCCACACAAAATCAAGTCGGACTAAATACATCTTGTCCGCCTCAAGAGACATCATTCTACATAATGATCTGTTTTATATCACAATTAAAATTTATCTGGTGTTAATGATGACGTTCGTCTCGAATAAGGAAATTGAGATCACCGGTGATGTTAGTCTGCAGATTAGTTCTAAGATCGAAACTTTGATTTTTCAAATGACACTCGTGAAATACTGGATTATGGCATGCACGGAAATCATTGTGAGATAATGCGGTATCGATTATTAAAATAATTAAGATCGCTGAGTTCTCTCGTGGATGAAATCTCGCCGTTATATTCGCGCGTTATTAATGTTTCAGAATGTTTATCAACATGTTTATGAACTTTTGGATTGACCAATTTCAAGATAGCGGTACTTAAGTCTCTGTTAATTGATTAAATTATTACGTAGGCCAAAAAGTTTGTTCAAATATATTTGAGCAGAATTTTACTTTATCATATTTGATCGAAAATTACACGCAGACCAAGTAGGCATAGTTATCTGGGGCTTTTTTCTAACGCAATCAGATATTTTTATTGTAAAAGACGGTCGGTTCGTTTTCGAAAAAGGCAAATAGTCGAACGGTATCGAAATATCTGGTAGGACAAAAGTCCCGCAAGATTAAACAACACACATAAAAGGTGAAGATTAGACAATGTCAGTCCGATTAGATGGTGGATGCATGGACGATAGGAAATGTAAATACTTTTGGAAACACAAGGAGTAAGTATGCTCGTTTACAAGAAGTAAATATGCCCGTTTAAAAGTCGAATCTGTCGAGCTTGAGTCATGCTGTGTAGTTTGGGTGATTAATTATTGTAAAAACGATGAGAAGTCGCCCATTGCGATAGGAGATATCTCTCATATTCTGGAAATTACCTGGAAGATAAACATATCGATGCATGGACCAAGTTGTATCGTTGACGATATTTATTCTCTAAGAGAATAATACAGAGTATACTTCGAAGCAGTCGACGAAATGTCGAGAGCGTTATCCATACGTTAAATTTATCGATAGAGATATAAATCTCTCGCTGACGTCACCCTGTTTAAAATCGAGTGGACGTCCGGTTGTTTTCTCCGGCTATTTAAATAATTAATTAACATAATAACAATTAAATATATATTAGAATTTTCTCCCACCTCTCAATCTTCCCATACTCTCGAATACGTTTCTGCTAAGTACTTCTTTCTCTATCTCTCCCTCTCTTGTCTTCAATAGCGAGTACAAAATTAATTTGGAAGTGTCGGTTTCTCCGTTTATTTCGTCCTCGTGCCATTTTTCTCCGTACGATCAGTTTCTTGCGGTAAGAAATTTTCTCAGAAGAAACTGCATATAAAATATATTCGATTTTTGCAAAATATAATTGTTAAGATGCGCAATAAATAGCTCAACAATTAATATCTCGCGATTCAATTATCGCTATTTCGAATAAACATGAATTAAGATCAGATAATGGACTAGCTATATCGAAATCGCTCGCTTATTAAAGCACCTATATGACGTATACACACGCGTTTACCACAAAACCGCGACCGACCGACCAAATCGAATTTTGCGAGCATGACAAACGAAGGCGACATCCAGCCGGTGAGTCCATTCCGGCGAGTCTAGAACTCCTTCTTCTTCTCCTTGTCCACCAAGATATTGTCGTGGTAACTGATCTCTTGGCCAGCAACAGCCGGATGCAAGTAATGCGGCTCCACGTCGATCTTCTCCTTCACGTCCGAGTCCAACACCAAAGAATGGTGAGGCCCACGATGAAGGTGCTGCTGCTGCTGCTGCTGTTGATGCTGATGCTGATGTTGGTGCTGGTGCTGATGCTGATGGTGATGCTCATGTCGGCTCTCCTGCTCCTGGCCATATTTCTTCAGCATTTCCCTCAGCTTCTCCAGATCTACTTCCTCCTCTTGAGAGAACAGCTCTTTCACGCCGGCCTCGTCAAGTTTCTGCGAGTCTTTTAATTTTTTGAAAAGATGAAGGAATTCGTTAGTTTGCGCCCCGTCCCTGGTCGTGTTCTTCGAGTTCAAATTTGGATCTAACAGCAAATCGGGCGTCTCGTGCGCTACGTTCACGTTCTTGTCCAGGTTCTCCTCCGTCAACGACTGCAGCAAGGTATTGTAGTCCGGTTTGATCTTCGAGGTTTCCATGCAGGAGCTGCACGAGCAATTCGTTATAATTTGCACCTTCTTCTGCATAGTCACCGGATTATTCTGCTCGTCTTTGCAATCCAGCGTAACCTAGAAACAGAAGATATAAAAAAATTACGATATAATATTAAGAGATAAAAAATTAGAAATATAAAAAATTACGATATAATATGAAATATTATTTCTGGTAAATAGTAAAGAAACAGGGAATTCCAATATTATCTCGGATCTTTCTCATAATACGAATACTTATGAATCACGTAGGAATTTGTGATCAGTCTCATGGCTCACAAAGTAATCAGAACGATGAAAAATATACACACTCAACAGTATAATTACAGGAACTGGGTGTACTTATAAAAAACATAAGATCGCAAAATTCAATTAACTGCAACTCCGTCAAGTGCTTGGAGGCTATAAAAAAATACTGTATTATGAGAAACGTGACAGCATTAAACATTATTTTCTCGTAATCGGATATATTTTTTTACACGTGCGAAACACACATTATCGTGGGAAGAGGATAAAAATAAAAATCGATTAAGTCCCGAGTTTAGACCATCATTCCTTTCTTCAGATTACGTGATGTCTAGTTTATATAATGCATACGGTGTGTTCTTCAAATTGCAGTTGCTGAGTAACGGTAATATTAAATGATCACAGTTACTGTGTCTGCACTTATCGATCGTGGTTTAATCGACGCGTCTGCGTGCAGGTACTCACAGTGTGCCAAACACTGTCCAGAGGTTGACACGAGTCGCAGTAAGGTCTTATGAGGTCACCGGGCGCGGAAGGCTCGCTATGAGGGACCATGTAGGAGAAACAGGCGCCGACGCACACATTGTTGTCCAATTCCTGTGAGGAACATTGGGGCCATGTCACCACTTGCTTTATGGGCGTCGTCTTACACCAACTGTGCTTGTCCGGGTACAGCACGATGTTGTGAACCTGCGTATAAAATTGATGACATAAGAGCGAATGAAAAGGGATATCAAACGATATTACGTAAATGACGTGACCCGTCATTTTTTCCATGTGAGAGGACCGATCGAGAAAGATAAGTGCTAGAGCGAATTCGGAGTATTATTAACGAGAGGAAACGAACCTTGTGTTCACGATGAGCATCAAGCGAAGTAGAATGCATCATTAACAAGAGCATCGTCGCGGACAGCCGCCGTATCGTCCCCATGATCCCTGAAACAATGCAAGGGAACAGAGGGTATCCGAATCTTTCCAATTAGTCGGACAAGACGGGGAATAATTCAGACGTCGGAGGGGTCGTATAATTCTCAGAGAAGCGCAAAGACGGGAGTGAGCTTCGCGTCTGTGAAATTATCTTCGACACTGAAGAATTATGGCGGTGGGAACGGAGCGACGAAGGGAGAGTAGAACGCGGGAAAGAGAGTTGAAATGCAAATTCGCTTCTTTTCTGCGAATCGAGTGTCTCAGGGATCGTGATTATTTTCCCGTAAGGAACGACAGCCGCGTTGTTCATCTCGAACTTTCAGGTTTGACCGGTATTGCGTCACAAGCGACACCGCGTCATATACAGCTTCTTTTTCACCTTCGCTGCCTCCGTTAGCGTCTATAAACATTTGGTATCGATACGTTCGATGTACGCGGCGAAAAACGGGCCGTGAGTAGTCGAGGCGATCCGGACATCGGTTTCTACCCGTTGCGAGCGTATAAGCACGAAGGTGAGGCAGTGCTTCCATAAACTACTTTTATTCCCGAAAACTTAATTAGATGGTTCGCGCGACCTCCAAGTGTCCGTAAAAGAGACGCGAGGAAAGTTATAATACCCTCGTTGGAGTTTCGGCGCCAACGGAGGAACGGGTTCTCGTTATTGGTGATGGCGCGACGCGGTTCATTCATAGATCGTTAAGGCCGATCCCCCGATCTCAATGTGGCATGCTCGAGTTTTAACTTCCCGAGATTTTGAGATAAAGGAACTCCTCGAGTCCTCTCGGAACTCTCGGCGAATAGGCGGGAATCCGTCGTGGATGTCCCTGCCATAAATAATGGCGGATTTAAGGCACCGTTCCTGGGAACAGAGATGCACTCCTTCCGGCGGTGTAAATATTTCCAAAGCCGCGGGTATGGCGCCCGGTGAGATAAAAGATAGAAGAACGTGCTCTCCATTTAAATACGACAACGTGAATACGATAAGGAATCAGAATGCCGCGAATAAAAAGTCTCGCCCGGTGTAAAAAGAATCCGGAAGGGAATTTATCGCATATCCAATTATAACGTAAAATTTCCCTCAGGAGGATATTTGAATACTAATAGGATTACACAGGAAGGATCAGCGCCGGTAGCCGGTGGAGGATTACATAATGAAAAAACGGAGTACGGAAATAAAAGAGCAGGCCAATGAGACATTTTCTCTATCATTCGGACACATCGGTTTTTATACGCGGCACGAAGAAAAAGTTTCACGTCCGAAACGTGTTCTCGTTATAAACGATTCGACTTATCGCGAGTTAATTCTCCGGCGATCTAACCGCAACGACACCGATACGAATGTCGAACCAGGCGGACGTGGCTCCAATTACGTCGGCTCCGTTTCGCTTTCGGTTGTCCGGAGAGAAAAAGGAGGAGAAAGAGAAGAACACTCAAATCGATCCCGCGACGTTGCATAGGTACTATCGCGCCGTCCTTCGAGGATTCGTCGGGGCTCGCGAGCTGAATTCCTGACAACGGCAAGAATCTTGTCCCTCGGCGGACAATTGGTCGCCGGTATTTCCAGAGAGAGGATCGACTTTTCGTCTCTCACCGGCCGTCTCGTCCACGATGCATCTCGATTCCGATTCTCTCCCTTCGTCGCCTCATTTTCTCCTCCTCCGCCTTCTTTTCCTCCTGCTCCGCGGCTTCCATCTTACTTCACCTATATTCTCCGCGAACGCATTCGGTTCGGATCTTTTTCTTCGCTCCGCAACGCAACCCTTCGTCCTCCTTTATTCTCGCCCAGAGAATCTCTCCGATCTTCCGTTTTTTATTTCGAGTTCCGAGAACCACCGGTGCAGGGTGCAGGGCTGCCGCGCCGTTTTCGTGGATTTGGAACAACGCGTTGCCGATCGGCACGCGAAAAACGAGACCGAGACGGCGGGTATGTGAAAACAGAGGATGTAACGAGCTGTTTTGTTTTCTACTTTTTTTTCAGCGGCAGCTGATTAGAAGAAGCGAGATACGATTACCATCGAGTGACGAGATTACCGAACGAACGATGATATCGTGAAAGTTGTCGCGTCCGGCGCGGAGATAAATCCTGTTCCCACTCGGAAACTTGTTTACAGGATGCAACTTGAGGATTCTGGAGAAACGTATCGCGTTTCAAAAATTAGGCCTCTCGAATAATTCTTGTTGAATCATCCTGTATGCTTCGAGGTGCCGCGGAGGTGTGGGGCAACACGGTACCGGCCGACCGTCTCATTTCTACGAGCGGAGATTTGAATGACCGAATAAGACGCAACAGGGACGTACTCGATCGAGTTCCGAACGATCAGGCTCTCGTATTTGACCCTTGACGCACGTTGCGTGCTCGTTACACCGCGAGCAAGATTATCGTCCTTTCGTGGATATTCTTGAATTTACAATGGCAACACGAAGGCGTTCCCACTGGAAACAAAGTTAAGCTACCGCGAGGTTTGGTCACGCGAGGTAATTGCGCGCATCGTAAAATCGATATATGTAAAACGAAGTTAACTCCCTGACTTCGTCGGACACGGAATTGAATTTCACGTCGTTCTGCGGAAAAAACTTTCCTAACTTCGTTCATTATCCGATAATTTTCATGACTCTACCGTGAACGTTTCCCCGACGTTTATAACTTTTGACGCGCTTAATCGAGAAGATTCCATTGATCTTCATCTATTCTTCTAGTTAGAACTCACGTTCCCGAAAGCACACTTTAAACTCACGCAATCACGCGTATGAGCTATATTCGGTAATCGATCAATGTTATTTAATAATTCGAAAAAAAAAAAACAACAACAAATCAAGCAATTCGCGTCTCTTTTCTCCGCGGTCTCAAGTCGCTGCGCTACCCCTCCGGATCGATTTCGAGTTGCGGGTGTATTAAAAAGTTGAACATCGTGAAATTCAGCGGGTACGGCCCTGCGACGGCCGCAGCCAGAAGTCCAAAGCTCTTTGTTGCTGCGCCACCTTCTCTTCTCGCCTCTAGGTCCGTGTCGGTGGCACGGAGGACCTCTGGCCCACCTCCTTCTTCACCTCCACCTCCCTCGGTCCCGTGCCTTCGATTTGCTCGTGTCCTCGAGATACCGAGAGAGGATAGAAGGAGAGCGATACCGGACGAAGGGAGAAGGAGGACAACCGGCGAGAGAAGAAGGACGGAGAGAGGGTCCTGCGCCCAGCCGCGAGATTAATTTGATTTTCAAGCAAATTTGACGCGCCCCCGAGCCTAGGCGGTGCCGGCACAAAGGGCGCCGCGGCTGTCCGCCCATGTGTGTGCCCGTCGAAATCCTCGACGGTTTTCCATCGATCCAACGCTTGATCTCCTCGACGTCTATCCTACGTCGACAGCGTGGCGGCCGATGGACGCGTCGGCGCGTTCGTTATAAAAGCGCGATGCATATCGCGGACGTTTTAGCGTCGAGCGCTTTAACCGCGTCAGATGTCAGATTGTAACAAACTGAAACGTCAAGATGGTTCCGATAGCTATGCGTATCGATGACGTCAGCAGCGAGGAAGTCGCGGTACTCCTGCAACAAGTTCGCTCCGACGAGGACGCGTGCGAAGATCCTCGCTGATTCTTCAGCACGCCTAGCACTTTGCACTCTCGTCGACACGCATTTCCATCGTTTTCGCGATCGGAAATTATACGGACGTTGCGATGAGTCAGGTCGATGTATGAGACCCTTCAAACGCACCGCGAAGCGAGCGAGCGCCTGCAATAGAGTACAATCAAGTCCGATAGCTTCGCTCGTGTTTGCTTTTCTTTTTACGCAGCTGAATAACCTTCGCCAACGTCTTTCGCCGGCAATCGTAGCTAATATAAATTGCGCTTACGTCCAACGCGGAGTCACGGGTCGCTCATGCGTGAACGTATCGCCGCGATGAAGCTGTCCACGGGGGAAAAAAATATGATCCTTGCTGTCCACAGCAGCATGCGCGCCGATCATCCCCGCGGTCCGCGTATAATACCTCCTCGGCGAAGGTCCGGTCGCCCCGCAGTTCAATCTCCCGAACTTAACGATCCGGTGCGCGGCGAGCGCCGGAGATGACGGCGAGTGATATATCCATAATTAGGTGTCTCGGGCTTTAATCTCCCATTGGTTTTAATGAAAATCTCCACCTCCCGTTTTGACATACCCTAATTTCACATTTCGTTGGGACGCCGGCTCTCGTCCGCCGTTTTTCTCCCTTTTTCCCTTTTCTCTCCTCTCCTCCCCCCTTCCTTTTTTTTCTCCTCGGGATATCGGGGATACCGTGGGCGAACTAATAGATGGCCCGGGGGTACGGGGCGAGCTTGAAGGATGGAGGAGGAGCGGAGAAATAAAAGAAGAGTCGGCCGCGCGAGGGTGCGGATCGCGCGAGGGGACTCCGGAGTAGCGAAGAAGAGGAGAGGCGTAGGGCCCGCGGGGCACGAGAAGGAGAAAGCAGGAACGGGCGAGGGAGAGAAGGACGGCGCCGAAAAAAGGAGTTTGCCAACAGCACCGGGGGATGCCCCGAAAACACGCTGGACGTGTGGCGCCATCTCGGCTCCTTTTTTTTCTCCCTCTTCTTCGTCGTCGTCCCCTCCGTGCCGCGCGATTCCTCGTGCTTTTGTTTCTTCGCCCATACTAATTCTTCGCGGGCTGCGCGGCGTGCCCGGAACGCGTGGGGAACGAACGTGGGGCCCCGTGAGAAGAGGAGACGGGGGGACGAGCCAGGCGGAAGAGGATTTACACGGAGTTTTGCTCCGTTCGCTTCTCGTTAGGTAGCCCGTGTTCGGAACAAGTCGATCTTCTTTTTTTTCGCCTTGCTTCTCTCTCTCTCTCTGTCGTCAACAAACTCTATGCGCCGTACAAAATATTCTATACGGAGAGATGAAACGCCTGAAAAAAGGGCACTACTCCTCTCTCCCGACGTCTTCAACGTCGAGAGGACCGTTGTTCTCCTCGATTTCCTTCACTTGCGGTACCCCAAGAGTCACGTTTGATCCGAGACACTCCGCGAACGCGGCGGCGGCGGCTTTGTTCCGCTTGCCCTTATTTTGCTCGGGTTTCTAGTTTCACGCCGAATCGTGGAAGGGAGACACGGAGGTGGAGGTGGTAGGCGACGAGGTGGCCGCGTAGCACACGCGACTCGTGTGCGCGACGCTTTAGGGGCCCCCTCTCGGTGTGGTGGCCCCCGTGAGCGCGGACCACATACCTGCAAACGAACGCTCTTAAAAGAGAGGGCAGAGCCAAAGAACAGGTCGTTAAAATGTAATGACATTGTTGTTTTTAATGCTCGCCTCTTTAAAACGGGCCCTTTCGTCTTCCTCGAGCCTGCCCGCTACTTCTGGCGCTTACCGGCTGCCCCTTCAACCCGACGAAGCCCCTTTAGCACTTCTCCTTTCCTCGCTCACGCGAAAGAAGACGTGGGGGGAGGGGGAGACAAATTGCGAATTGCCCGTCCGTTTTCGACCAGCATTGTCGCTCGGGTTGGTGGCATCCAGTTACACGCTTCACCGATTCCCCTACGAAAGACCTTTCTCGGGACATCGTAGAAGATCGAGAGAGGCGGAGCAATTTGCACGGACGATCTTCGATGAAGCTTCACTTCGAAGGCAAAAGTCCAGGAAAAGCATTGCGAAGATATATTTAATGTGTGCCATCTTTTTTCATACCTGTACAGTAAGATTCACCGAAAGCTTTTGCTGACGCGATTTCAGAAGGAGATACGGGAAGAAAATGCAAGAAACGATATTTCTTCATCGGGAACGGACAATATAATTCTATTATATAATTTAATTATAATTCATCACCTACTATAAGATCGATCATCCACTCAATATTTACCGTAGGATTTCGTCGTATAACAATTTGGGCGAAAAATCTTATACGATATTAGGGCCGGGATGAAAATATTTACACAAGAAAGTAACAACGCACACGTTTGATTCGCGAGAAGTACTTAAAACCGGCGGACGATCGGCGAGACCGACGCGGCATCTCGGAACGTCAATATTCTCACCTTGTCGGATAGCTAAGTTCGACCAATTAAGTTGGACGGTAGCCGCGAGCCGGACCAATCGTGGACGGTCTCCGTTAGAAAGGAACCGATTATGGGTTCGCTACCGCGCAACAGTTTAGCTCGGCGAGCTTAACTGTTGCGTCTAAGAAGAGCTATCATTAAGTCCGAAATAGGGGTCTCGTATTAGGATTAGTGGCCGAAACATTTTGGATAGGGTGCTTCTGTATCGCTCGAGTACGTCCCCGGCCTCTCGCCCGCTCCGCGGCGTTTCGATGGAGGCACCGCGATCACCGTAACTCGATCAGCTGGTGTTGAGTTGCCCGTTTCCCTTAGTGAAGGGATAGTTCATGCTCCCAGGAACACCCGCTAGCTCGAAGATGATCGCACGAACTTACGGAAGAATTTACATTCACGTCTGAAGTTTCAACTATAATACACACCTAGCGGTAATATCGAGCGCGTCGGATTCCTGAAGCCTTCGTAATCCCCCCGTCGATTTGCGCCGTGCTCCGGAGCAATGAGAAAGAGAGAGAGAGAACATAGACGCACAACGCGAGCGTCAGCGCGCGCTCCCGTGTACACGCACACGCGTACACGCATAAGCGGAGACGCGAATGAGCTTGAGATTTCTCAAGCTGACGGACGATCTCCCGTTGAACTAATGGATTTACTTTCCGAGAGTCAGCGATTCCCGAGCTGCTCGTCAGCAGCTGGAAACTAAGAGGCGCGAGTCGCGCAGCAGCCGAGAGAGCTATTTCTCCGACTGCATAACGCGACTCCGGTTGGACTCGCTCGCGAACACTCGGATCTCGCGATCTGTCCCGAGTCCACCGGTGGTCCGGGGAGCCTTGGCTTTCCCGAAGAGAGACTGTCACTCACCTCAGCGTCACGAACGTCACCGTCCTCGTCGTCGTAGTCTCGCACCGCGAACTGCGCACCACACGTCGATCTCCTTGCGAGAGCACGTAGAGCAACGGCGCAACAGGTATTCTAGCCACCGGTCGGCCTGCCAGGAATCTCGCCTCTCTCGCGAGCGGAGAGAGAGAGAGAAAGAGAGAGAGAGAGGGAAAAACAGAGAGAGAGAGAGAAGTGCAATCGTGATCTCCGGCACTCTCTGTGTCCGGAGGAGGCGAAGTGCGCGGAGTCGTTCGAAGGAGTACAAGTGCGTACGAGAACGACCTTTCGAGTACCGAGGCTTCCGATACTACGAAGCTGAGAGTGCCGAACCGAGCTGAGCTGAGCACGAAACTGTGCTGCCGATCTCTCGTGTTCCGTTCTCCTCCTCCTCCTCCCGCCCGCCCGTCCGCCGCCTCCTCCTTCGCCACCTCCTCCTCCTCTTCTTCTTCTCTTCTTCTTCCTCAACCTCCTCCTCCAGCATCATCGCCGCCACCACCACCACCGACAGCGGGTTCTCCTTCAGCTCCTCCTTCTACTACTCGGTGCACGTTCGGTTCCCGGTTCCGTTCTCTCTCTCTCTCTTCGTCGCTCGCGCGCCTCCGCATCGGCGATCGCTGCGGGTGCGACAGAGCAGAAAGGACGACGGGGAGCAGCGGGGTGAACGCGGGAAGAGGAAGGATTAACCGTGAGCAAGAGAGATCTCCGGGCTACCACCTCTACGACGACGACGACGACGACGCGCGTCGCGCGTACTATAAGAAGCGATATCGCCCGAGGCGTTACACCGCGAACCAGTAAAACTTGTACGTCAGCGAGCCGAGCGCCGGCGATCGCGCGCTCTTCGTCACCGTCATCCTCGTCATCCCGGACGCGGAGGACTCGGGGCGGAACGCGAAAGTGACGAAGAGGAGGACTCGGGAATGGTGAGTCGCGACGCGCGCCTCCGCCGACGTTAACGAGATCACTAGGACTGCCGGCAGAAATTCGGAGCCAGCCGGATGAAAACTGCTCGATCGCACCATCTTCTCTTTCTCCCTCTCCATCCCTTTCTCTATCTCTCTCTCTCTCTCTTTCTCTCGTGCGATCGTTACTATTCAGTCTCTCTTTTACCCCTCGGTTCCCAATGACTCACCCGTGTCTTCCTCAGGTCTTCTTTATATAACTCTCTTCGACGATATATATATCGAGATCGTATGTTTTCTAATCGATATTTATAAATACGTCATATCCCGTTCGAGTACACGATTGCTTCGAAATCTAAGGTGCAAGTGTTACGGGGAAGTATTGGGAACTGGAGGGTTAATTCGCGAACTAATGGATAACGCCAGTTTCTATCATCATAGTTTAAATCTTACTGACGGTAAACTCAACGGAATTAACGAATCGCATCAGCTGATTAGCTGAACTGACCAATGCGATTGGTCAATTTCGTTGAGTCGACCGCCGATTAGATTTAATCCACGATGGTAGAAGCGGAATGTAAGTCGGTAACGTCATTTGTACTTGAGACAGGTCAACGCGCGATCCTCGGCTCTCCCGATTAGAACGCATTACTGCGTGGTTGTGAATCGCTTTATCGTCGGCCCCAGGACATCTTTCACGTGGTTCTGCAGGTTCTTGCACTTTTGCTCGGCGTTCACGTCATCGGAGCTGCCCCAAATGATCAAACCGTTGGCGCCGAGGCCGGCTATCGTGTCAATCGTGTTATATGTGTCTTTCTGCGCAGACAAAGCATCGGGTTCGATATCGACATCGGTATCAGGAGCGTTGCGAAACGTTACGAGGTGCGAAGGGACTCACCTTGCTCAGGAATTCATCTCTTCTATCTTGGTACTTAAACCAGTAATAAGGCAAGGTCCGTTGTGCGTTCGGGCTCTTCGACTGTAGCCGCAGCGCCTCCGATACTCTGCCCTTAACGAAGCCCGGACGATCTTCCTCCTTGATCTCCAGTCTCAAGTACACGGAAGGCGCGTGCAGGTCCTCGAGCGTGAACAGCCAAGACATTCTACGGGAAATTATTGCCCCTGATTATCCTCGAGGTTCTTTCCCCTCCGAGCCGCTCCTTTATCGTCGCTCACGATTAGATTACGTGAGAAACAACTGCAGGTCGCGCACACTGCAGTCTCCATCGACGAGCCGACTATCCTCGACACTGACCTATTTCGACGTGTACCCACCGTAATCTCTCCGTACGAACTCGCTAAACCGTCCGGGATGGTATCGTCGTCATTGTTGCAAATCAGCCGGCCGCGCGAGTTAAACAGCATCACGGTTGCCACGGAAAATGATTGTTGAAATTCCCCGAGTTTTCCAAACGACAGTGGAGAATTTTCCACGGGCAATATGTAATTTTAAACTTCAACGTTTAGGTGCTGGGATTGCAGGAAAGGTAGCTTGTATTATCAGAAGCAACACAAGCTTAAAAGTTTAGTAATACAATACGATCCCGAGTGCGAATTCAGGTGAAGAAAAAATAAATGAGTATTGGAAAAAGGAATACGAATAAAAGCATTTAAGGGGATTGTGAGCGAAGTTACAAATTCCAGGTTTTCTGTATCCTTCTTTGGCTTTCCCTGGTTTCCCCTGACATTTTCAATTTCCACGACTTTCCCCAGTCTTCCTGGTTTCCCAGGTCTCCGTGGCAACCCTGAATATATTCATAAATTTTATAAATCTCGGCGGCGCGGCCGAGCGACACGCTAAACGCCGGCCTGACGGCAGTCGGCGAACACGAAGACCGCGAGATTATCTCCGGATCGGCGTGTTCCGTATAAAGCGTAATGACGCGCACACGCATACGCTACTAAATTATACACACGTCGTCGGATATCGGATTATCGATCGCCGGATATTACTCACTCGTCATTCTCCACCACGGTTTTGCGATCGCAATGCGCGCTGCGCTGGCCGGGAGTCTGATTGAAGCAATAAGGATAGCCGTAGTAACCCCACGCGGCCTTAGACCGCAGCTTCTTCGCCGTCTTCAGAGTCTCCTCCATGAACATCCTACCGTACTTCTCGAAACGACGCTTTGCTTCCTTCTTGATGGCCGCGTCGCTCCAGAAGGGATGCCTCTTACGTTCCACCTCGAACGACCGGGTCTTATAGGGCTCGAGAGAGGCCCAATTTTGCCGGAAGATGGGCCGCCAGCTCTCGAAATCTATCACGCCGACGCCGCTAAACGACTCGTTGGGGATCTGCGAGACTAAATGCTCCTCGAACACCTGGAGGTGTTTTTTCAGATCGCCTTCTTGCGGCACACCGCCGTTCCTGCTCGTCTCATGTCCTGAAAAAAAGCATCAGAGGTATCTTTTAGGTAAAAGAAAGAAAACACCTTGTAGCTATTTTATTCGACAACGTAATATTCCCGATTTACCGTTCTTATCGGTCAACAATGCCGGGAACATCCCCGGGTCGTAAAGAATCGCGATCTTTTCGCCACGGAACTCGTCCATGGCGTTCTGACGAATGCCGAAATCCTTCAGCTCCTCGAATTTCATGCCATACTTGTGACACATGAAAGTGGGCACGTTCCAGTAAACGTCAAACGGGGTCGGATCGCCTTCCTTGAGGGTCGTCGCATCTGAGCTGGGGAGAAACGCGAGGTGACGTACGAGCGTGGACAAGAACACCCATTCGATAAGATATTTTCGGGCCACCGGACTCGGTTGTTTCGTGCGGTTATGAGGCTTCCGAGATTAGAATTACCCTCTCGTATCAAATAATCGGCTTCAACAATTAATAGAGTATCATTTAAAAGAAACCGTCTTCGCGTAATGCAATAAAAATAAGGAAAATTAATCTTTTGTGTTAGTCCAAAATTGCTTCAATTTTAGATGTTTATTTATTTGTCCAGACGTCTCGGTCCTAAGGATCTTCTTCAGCGAAGTAATAATGTAAAAGGCCGGTATTCATAGTCGGATCTTACATTTAAAACCGGTGAATACCGGCCAAAATTACAAGCACTTGCATCTATCAATAGTAAAGGGAAACTAAACGAGAAAAAATGAAATAAAAGTTGAGTGGATGTTGCAAGTCTGATGTGTAAAACGCAAGAAGAAAAATCGACTATCCAAACACACTTGGTCGTTAAATAAACGTGGGAGAAACGCGGAGAGCAAGAATAATAAATATATAATATAACCATCGAACTGAATAAAAATTAAATATATCACTTCAGGGACTGAAGACTATATCGAAAATATCTTGATTATCAAATGTCAAATAATGAATACTGTTAATGAAACATTTGTATTTTATTATTATAGAACCAAACCTTGTTATAGAGACACGCGAGTAAATTTAATGACAGCTTAAGTAAAACGATAAGATATCGAAAAATGAAAACACATCTGACAGATACCGAGGAAGGTCGAATTATTTAAAACCCGATAAAACCGAAGTTCCTTATGGGAGTACACTCAATGATAAAATTACCGGATATCCAAGAAGGACGAATTACTTAAAAATGTATTCAACTGAACTTTTTTCAAGGAAAATTCCGCGATTTTCACGGAATTAAAACATGTGTAATGTTCTTCAAGCAATACCCGAAGAAACCGGCGACCAGGACGGTCGCGAAGGCAGTAATCAGAGAGTTTCGAACTGGTAGCATCGTGCTCGAACTCGACGATGAAGTTTCGTGGCGGCTCTACTACGGAGATTCGGTGGTGAGGAGTTTCCCGCTGGTGAACTAGAAACTGGCGATCAGACGTCCCGGGAGTCGACCGCGGTGTCAAGGCGCCACTAAACAGTCAATTGGTAAGGTGATGTTAAACAATGCTCGTCTCTCGGCGAAGATTCGCGCGCACCTCCCCCGCTGACCAGAGACGGTTAACGTCGTTAGTGCGCTGAGAGTACGACTGAATTCCGCTCGATTTCAGCCCAGTATTTATTCCACATCGTGCGTCTCCCGTTTTCCCCACCTACGTACGGACTGCTCGTCGACGCCTCGCGGTGTTATCTAGCTCTAGGTATTGTTCCAATGATTCGATGTTTCCGCCTTTTGCGCGTATTTCTCGCCACGTTTTTGTCCTCTGTCTCTTTTTATTATTGCCACGCATTTGCAAAGGGCGCGTGAACGCTCGTCAGTCACCCTAAACTCTCAATGAACGTCTATTGACGTTTCCAGCAAGCGGGAAATCGATACAAGCTCGCTCGGCCAGGAGCTTTCTGAACGATGAAACCAGACGCGCTCCTGCGCGAAAGAAACTGAATCAGGCTCTTCGTTATTCTTAATGCGGAAAAGGACGTCACTTTAAAGCGATTTTCAAGCACGATCAGAAATAACGAGCAGTTAACAAGCATCATCTATCATTCACAATTCGCAGGAATTTCTTTGGATTCCGGAGGAACCCTTTATTGCATGAATGCCGAGGAAGAATGAATCACTCGCGTTTGAAAATTGCGCGTGAGTCCATTTCGATGAAATAATGTGATACGCGTGAAAAAGATCTATCGAAAATGTTTCACTAATTAAATCATAAAATGTGTCGTGACTATCGGCTTCATATCGGCATACCGGAAGCGATTGCATCGCAGACAATTTTACTGAAACACGTAGCACCGCGGAAAATTCAATGTAAAATGCGATGATCTCTCTCTCTCTCTCTCTCTCGGTTTCATAATATTGTTAAAATATTTTCATGCCCACGGCGCTACGCGAGCGAGTGATGAATGTTTCGCGTGGAAATTGCAAAAAACTATCTCATGGTTGCACATGCAAATCAGGTACTATTATATAGCATTTATACAACGAGAAATTATGAAACGTTTTTTTTTTTAACGCGCAGACATTCACTGTACATGGCTTTCAACGTGCAACCAAGTATTCGACAGAGGATAGAAGAATTTCTTTTTTTATAAAAAGCAATTATCTCTCGTGTGTCACCGTTGACTTCTTCATAAAAAAAACTCGTCACGTTCGCGACAGGCCCCCATTTGTTGTGTATCCCTGACTCGGTTTAGCCGGCCACCATTGATTTATCCCAGTTGCATCAGCCCAAGGGAGAAGGACATTTACATGTCGTTTTCATCGGGAATTCGAATAAACGCTAGAGATGCAAATTCGTGCCGGCGGTAAAGCGCAATTTAACGATCTGTAAATAACCGATAATTAAACGCACATCAATTGTCCGTGAACGATATCGCTGGATCTACCGTTTGTACATTCGCTCAAGGCTCAAGGAACGTTGCCCCCTGTCTACTCGCATCCGGTCGTTTTGATCGATCGTCCGTGTGCACAACCGGGTCTCCGCAAACTTGTCGAAGGTGATCACTCGGACGTCGCCTCCCTATCTAAAGGCGAAATGTAAATTTTCAACCGGCACACCGCTACGTGTACATCGGCTTTTTCTCTCTTATCACCGGCCAGACCTTGCGCGTCGGCCGTGCCTCAAGTTGCGAACGCGTGTTCGTGATGATCGCGAAAAAAAAGGGTAGTGGTTACGCGATCGTCTCGCCTTGACGAAGTGTACACGTGCACACGTACACACATATACGCATATGGAACAAGGAAATCAATTTCTTTATTACCCCGCTGCCATATAAATAAGAAATTTTATGCTAGCGCGACGAGATTACTCCTCGCACGTGGAACTTCACGTGACGTATTAACGGCTGATATTTCGTTATTTCATTGGATTATTGCACAGCGATCGGGATTCTTTTCCGAAGGACTCTGCATAAACTGCATAGAAACGTTCTGTTTGTTTTCTTTTTCATTTCATCAGAGCTGGTCGTTTACTTAAACGAGGTCGCACGAATATACCTTGATATTACCATTGACCAGGCGTTATCCTTTAACTAGGGACTAGTTTCCGCGCTAGTTTCAAGTCTCGTTGCATATCTAATCGCGAGCGGGAACGAATCCCGAGTTGTGTAACTTTAGGCTCTACAACCGTTATAGAGATTGCGCGAAACAAATGGCACGAGGCGCGCCGCACATATGTGATAAACGTGATTTACTTATTCGCGCGGAGACACGTAGGAGGGACAAGGCTGTATCGGAGACGGGGAAAAAAGTCAGTCGGCGGTGTAACGGAAAGAGGGTAAAGACATGATCGTTCTCGATGAACCTCATATTTTATTTTTAACTCGCCTATCACTCACACTCCGGCGTACGTTGTCATCTAATTAGCCGAGGAGGTGTAAAGGAAAAAAAAAACGAACGGGTAGAGTTACTTGGCGTCTAAGAGGCTTACATTATTGAAAATCCGCGGACATACCAGGGCGACGCGCCGCCACGTAGTAGCTATTAATCGCATGATGCTTATCTACATTGCTCGAGTCACGCAGATACACGCACATGTATATACGTGCATTCTGTATGTGCACTGCACAACAATGCACAATTTCCACAGCAGTCCCGATCGCGAGCGGCCGGACTTCGTATGGTGTTTCTCTCCGCAGGATGCGCCGACGGCGAGGACAAGAGTGACTTGTGAGATACCGAGCTAACCAATCGACCATCCACCCCGTCTTACGGAACAATCCTGCAAGAGAATTCGCATTTTTGTTGACCGTCACCAAGCGTATTTTGTATACCCTCCCCGATAAGAAAAATCGAGGTCGCGCTCATCCCAGTCTGGCACCGCTGTTTTTACTGCTTCTCGCATTATTGCTGCGTGATGGTGTCCTTGGTACGTATTCAACCGCTATCTCTCTCTCTCTCTCTCTCTCCTCTCTCCCTTTGTCGTGAGATCGCAAACGCGAAACACTCCAGGCAACGACTCGTCGAGCTACAAGCCTACTGGAGCACGAGACCGATCTTGCCGGGTGTCATACTGGGGCAACGCCAGTTGTAAAGGTAATATTGAAGATTCCCGTCGCCGATGCCGAACTTAAGGGGCTCCAAGAATTCCTTGTTGTCCATAAGATCCAGAGCGTTGAACACGTCGAAACCCAACTGCAAGCGAAGATCACACTTAACGCACGTCGTTTGCGAACATTTATTTCCGCGTTAAGAACACGCGAAGTAGACTCACATCACGGGCGGATATCAAAGCGTCCATCATCAGCTCGAGCCAGGGCGTCACAGTGGACACGTTGTAGAAACTGTACGCGGCTCTGAGGGTCTTATGCGTCTGATGGTGCATGATGGAGCTCGGCAAAGTGTAGTAGCTCACCATGTCCGTGATCTTTCCCTCATTCTCCACCACGAAACTGTTAATAATGCCGGTTTGTGGCAAAAACCAGTGCTGGAACTCCTCGACCGAGAATACCGGGGCGAGGTCGAACTTCTCCAGATACTGCAAGATGAATACATTGCAACGACCGAACATATGTATCGCGTGTGTGCTCTGTTTTGATACTTGCCTCGGTTAATATCTTATGCGCTTGCGGCACGTCCGCGTAGACCAGCTTTCTGAAACCCGGTACTTTCGGGTTATCTGGCAGTTTGTATAGCTTTAGAGTCCTCTGCATTGTCATGTTGCGAGTGAGATGAGAGAATTTGATGTCGATTAGCTTCCTTGGATTTAAGGATCGATGCCAGTACCTAAGATGTACGATTACCGTCGATTAATATTTCAACATTAACAGGGAGGAATTGATTCCAAGCGATTTGTATGCACACCTGCACGTCGCGATCGGTTTTGGTAGAACAACACCGGCAGTGTACACGGCTTGAAAGATACCCTTCAGATTGACCCTCCTTGTGATCTCACGTATTAACACGGGCGCGACTCTTTTCGATCTCAGCTTCTTGTGTACACACAGGAAGTTAATCTCCACCATTTTCTGCGTACTGTAAACATTACCGACGTTACGACGTAGCAAGGAGGTGAAGTGCGCCACGAGTACACGTATGCATGTGTCGAACTCACTGATTGTAAACGCGCAGAGTAGCTGGAATAGCGGAAATAAAACCGACTAGACGTCCGCTTTTGCTCACTCGCACGCCACAATGCCATTCCTTGCACCAGCCTGGAGGTTGCAATGCCCATTTCAAAAAGTACGGAGGGTAATCGAATCTAAACATCGCATCGTCATCCTCCACGTAATTCTCTGAAAGTAGTGTGTATAATTCTGCTAAGACCAGAGGGTCATCTAAGTTCAAGGTGTCCCATTGAAAGTCAGCAGGTAACGAGTATGGCTCTTCCCTGACGGATGTTTTATCAGGCTCGATTGCTTCGTTGCGTACAATTTTCTCATCTGAAGAATAATAACAAGAGTATGTCCTTGGAGAAATGCGTCATGATTCTTTCAACATGAGTGGAAAGCGGTCAAGCAAGTTTGAAGCAGACATAGTATATCTTTCCATAGTTACATCGCTAATAATAATTTCAAAGTAATAATCAATTAGCTTCTTGTCGCGTTTTTGATTGAGGTTAAAGGAAAAAAAAGTTGGGAAAACTACCTATCAAACATGATAACATATTAATGACTTGAAATAAAATATCAATAATGTCTCTGATGTCAATTTACCATTAAGATTACTGGATAAGAACAGATACTAAAAATATATACTGTCCAGTGTTTTTGATCTTTTATTGTAGAATATATTATTTGAATAGTATTGTACAAAATATTAGCAATACAGTTAATATAAGAATGAAACAAATATATGTGATTTGCTTATTTACCCATTTTTGGTACTGGCTGTGTACTCCAAAATTGATAAGGCTTTTGCATGGCTTCCTCCTGAGTTTTGGCAGGTTTTTGTTGCATATTGAATACCTCCATCGCCATCTGAATATCCTTTATAGAGATATTGCACGCGCTAGGCATCTTTTTCTCTTCCTTGTTATTGTTAATATTTTCACTTGACGCGTTCGTCGCCTGACTCTTTTTCTTCCGAGCCTGTTTCTTCTTGAAACTGTGTGTGGCAAAATAACGAGGGATCTACCGAAACTGTTTGATTTTTCTCACGGTTATCAATAATCAAAAAATTAATTCAAACAACTTGGGTTGGTAAATTCAAGTGGGTCAATTTGGCAACGGCAGTCGCCGTGTGAATCTGCAAAAAATATCGGTTTGCCTCCGTTTACCTCGAATTTAATTATAAACTCGGTGAAAAGAAATAACAGAGCTGTCACCAACTCGCGATCCGGTCGTGGCCTTTGAATTCTGTTTATTTACACATGAATCGATCGATAATCGTCGAAAAGCGCAAGATTGCAATTCTCAACAACATCGATTAAGTATCCAGCGGTAAAATATATCGCATCGAAACAGGATGATTACAAGCAAATATCGGGCATGAGTCGCGGACGAAAGTCATTTCGAACGAAACCCGTGGTCGATTCGAAAATGACCGTTTCGCGTGAAGCCACGATCGAATTTGCCACGTCAATACGTCTGAAATGATCGTCAATAATTCGTGTTCACGAATTGTCCACCGGGCAACCCGTCAAACGAATATAGGTTAAGATGAGGGAGGTAGGGTATGGAACGATCGAACGTGCAAAAGTCGGAGCCGCGATCACCCGTTACCGAAACCTGTCGCGTACCTCTTATGCCGCGCGTCTTTCTCATGATCCTTCTCATCCTTCTTAGCGTCTCGTTCTGCGATCTCACTCAACTCCTCCATTTTCACACGGTATGATACAATAGCGCAACTGCGAGCGACTCCAAGTTAGCTTCGATGTTGATGAAGCAAAGCCGTCGATGATCATGCGCGAACGACGGGAAGTGAACAGCAGCGCCCTCTGCATTCGTGCATACACATAAATTTTAAATCGCTAAAAATGAAAATATTAATCTTTACAACGATCGATTTAATGCAAGTCAAACAGAGTACTTGTCGATAAATTACTGTGTACATACGTTACATCGATGGCAAGAAAGATATAAAATTCGCGAAAATCTTCCTGCGAAAATGGAGTTGTATATATTTTTTTCATTATCCGACACTTTGTTAAAATAATTTTGCAAAAAAGTACGAAATAAGCACGCGACAACGTGTAACGAGAAGGAACGCGGTATGAATCAATCTTTGCTCGCCTCGAGATAATAATCTCATGGTGGAAGGTGATTGGCTCTCGCGTATCTTGTTACTGTACAGCACACGTTATCGTTTCACATCCACAATAACGGTTACGGCCAGAAACCGTTCGTGCATAAATGTGGATGATATTGCACATTTTCATAAAATAAACAGAGTTATATACACTACCGTCTCCTATTGTCGTTTTAATATGGATTTTATCGTTGCGCATGCACCGCGCCGCGTGGCGCCATCGGAACGTACGTGGCGGAACACGAACGACGCTTCGAGATGTAGGCGCGCTTTTCCTTCGGTGGTAAGAATGCGGAACGGCGAAGTATCACACGGTGAACTTTGAACGCCGAACGACCTACTTTCCTCAAGTACGATTGCGATGACCACACGTGCATTGATTTCTGCAGCCTTTAAGTTTCTCTCCATTACCAGAGAAAATCCGTAAATTGATTTATGGTTTTATAATTATCTGTTTCTCGGCGGTAACTTATTGGGTCTGTTCTTTTTATCTGAATCGGCCGCACTAATTCAAGAAACTTACGCACACCGAAGTATCAGAATCTCGCACATACGTTTCATACGTTTTAAGATATATGTAAACATCTTGAACTAGCGTGGCGAACTCAACTAAAAAGAACAGACCAATTAATATATCAGATAACATAATGTCTAAAAATCGGGACAAAAGACGTCTTAAAAAAATTCGTAAATAAGATGTCTTTCTGACGTCTTATGCCCCGGTTTTAGACATTATGTTGTTTAAAATGTAACCTATAAGTAATCTAATACATAATCTAAAAGATATTCGAGAGATTTATCATCATTTGAAATAGATTAATAAGAAGAAAATTAAGAGACAGAGAAGATAACTCAGAAAGAGGCTAATAAACATCAATGATCAGTCAATGTTGATTATTCGTCAAAGGTACATCGTGCATTTGATCCCGTTTAATTATCTAGAACAGATATTACATACGGCTTACCATTCATATTATAATGTGATATTAATTAGTAACTATATAATTATAATAGTCATAATACCGCAATATCGCATAATAGTTACAATAAAAGCCGTAGTCCCTCACGCGCCCTCTGCAAATTACAAATTATACCAATTAACATCTGAAATGTCTATTTCTCTATTAAGAGACTATTATTCATTCGGCAATAACATTAGCATTCGTCACACACGAAACGCATTATTAGGTGTAATCGTCCGTCATGGTGTATGCTTTAGTCATATTTGGCGCAAATTTAAAGATTACGCATTCTAGATTATTAGATGAATTCACGTCGAACGAACGTTGGCAAGCGCGCGGACCGCGCATGCGCGTCACAATTCGCGCGGCTTCGCGTCGCCAACGGTCGCTGCGAAATCGTCCCGCGTTTCCGCGTTTTTTACCCGGCAAAAACACGTTTCGCGCGCGTGTCACTCATCGTGAATCTCGCGGTCAGCTTTAGCGCGACGTCTTGGCCCGTTAATTAGCGCGTGCCGGCCCGATCAGCCGCGTATCCGCGATCGCGAATCCGCCGTCCGATTCACGAACGCCAAGTGCGGTTATGGCGTCGATCGGCACGATAAAGCTGACCGTCGAGTAATCTACACCGCGTCGAGAATGAGCCGAGCGAGTCGATCAACGGCAGATCACCGGGGCAAATGAAGGTAAGCGATATTAATTAGCTGTTGGCACGCGGCATTTAAGCAGATGCGTAGCGTTGAACGCATCGTCGTGTCGGCTTGGCGTAAAACGATATCGCGTTATTGGTGTGCGAGTACACGAACACGTTACCGCTAGTCCATCATCGTGCATCATCGTTGCGTCGTGCCGGCGTTCCGCGCATAATCAGCCGTACTTTTTCCGAGTTTGCGAATCCGTCCGTCGGTGTTTATCCCGCGACAACTCGGGCATCAGTATTCGAGACGCGCCATTACGCGTGGTATTCGGCACTTTCGTCGTTCATGCAAGATGGCATACATTCCGCAGTTAGTGAAGTCGCGAACGGCAACTTCGCTCGTTACGGCGCGCGCCATTTTCGCGCGACTACGTGCCGAAAACGGTCGCTGCGGAAGTCGTCCCGCGTTCCTGCCTCTCTCGGCAAATGTGCGTTTCGCGCGTGAATCGGTTTCGCGGATATCGGGCTCGACGTTAGCGCGATGTCGGAGGTGTACGCAGTAAAAAAATATCTCCTATTTGTGTTGAAGCCGGTCCTTGTTCAAATATTTGGGTGGAATTTTCAACAAATCCGTGCGTTGACCTAACATGTTGTGTTTATGTTATTTCAATATGTATTTCGCGTTGAGTTGATATTTAACATGTGTAAGTATTAAAATAACACTTGTACACAGAAGAAAGACAGAAAAAATTAGTTTTAAATCAAGAATAGATATTCTCATGTATAAGCAAGGATATTATAATCTTCTTAGAAGATTTTTAGTTTTGATTTAATTGAATTTGCATGGAGATGCAAGTATTATTTGCATTCAATTCAAGACTTAAACTCTTCTAAGAATGTTATAATACTCTATATGAAAATATCTATCGTTGATTTATATAAAACTATTTCTTTTCTGTGTATTAAAATCACACATTTTACGTGTCGATTAACATTATTTTTGATGGGTAATTTTGTGTTAATTTTTAACGCGATATTTATGTTACTTTTTAACATATTCACCGTGTATTAAATTAACACGGAAATTTGTGTGAACGGCTTGAGATATGTGAAATGGGTTAAATTTAATACAAAATATTTTATTGTGTATTAATTTAATAGATAGATAGATGTAATAAATAGTAAAGTAAAATAAAAATAGTAAAATAAGTAGTGAATAATAACGTATAATAAATAAAAAGTAAATTAATTAAATTACAGTTGCATTATATGGACAGTCGTTACCTAGTTAATTAGAAAATAAATAGTAAAAATAGTAAAATAGTAAAATAAAAATAGTAAAGTGTAACCTTGATCAAGCACGTACTCGCGATCTCGAGTCTGTCGTCCGTTGAGGCTCGATTCACGAACGCTAAGTGAGATTATGGCGGCTGCAATGATCGGTACAAGACTGACGCAATTATTGCCGCGGATATCGTTCTGCTTAATACTTTCTTCGTATTTTACGTGCAAACCGGACGCGTGTCAGTGCGTTAATTAGCGTTAATGTAGTCTCGATCAGTCGCGTGTTTGCGGCCGCGAGTCCGTCGTTCGTCAATGCTCAATTCTCGCACGGAAAAAAGGAATTGGCTGTCCACATAATACAACTGAAATTTAATTACCAGACCTAGTTTTTAGCTACAGGAACTAAAAGCTAGCTAAAGAATTAGCTAAATAAATTAAATTACAGTTGCATTATATGGACAGTTGTTACCTAGTTAATTAGTTTTTATCTAGGGGTTAGTTTTAGCTGTGAAAGTTACTTATTTTCTCCCGTGCGGTTGTGGCCATTACGGCTGTTGTTGGTTTACCGAAACATTCGAAGCGATAGTCAGGTACACAACGTGTTTCGACGTGAGTTACGCAGTGAAAAATATTGTGTTAAAAGCGGTCCACTGAAATGTTCGAGTTACTTTAACACGGGGAATGTCTTGAATGGTACACAGATATAATGATATGTTAATATATTCGTAACGTATTTTGTTAAAGCAACACAAAATTTCAGTGGACCGTTTTCAACACGAAATTTAATAGCGTGCAGCTCACGTCGAAACACGGCGAAAACGGTGAGTTGGTAAACGGTGGAGAAACACCTCGGCAAATTAAGGTAAGCGATACTAATTAGCCGTGAGGGCGCGTTGTTCGAGTAGATGCGCGTGTTTAACGCAACCACATCGATCCGAAATGAAACGATCCGAGCGTTATTAGTACGAATATGAATGGCAACGCCGTAGCATGGATCGTCGTTACAGCGTGTTAATTGTGACGTGCGCGTAATTAACCGCGTTTTCTCGGTCGCAATGGCGCGGTCCGATGGTGGGCTGCGTCGAGGTTTGCAATATCACCTGAGGTCACCGTTGAACTGTTAGATATAAATAATTCCTTTATAAATGAAAGATTACAATTAGCCGTGTGTGCGCACGGCGCAAAGTAAATTCGCCAAGCAATTTTTTCGGAATGAGAGATTTGCGAAAGGGAAACCGAAAAAATAACCGTTTTTCACGCGGAGTGTAATTCCGTGATTAATTGCATACCGAATGTTATTACAGTCCGCCGGCCTCAAACGTATCGAAAACGATGCGTGCAGAGCGAACAGGTTCGCCGGTGGGCGCGATTGCAATTAAACGCGGTTTCCGCCCCGGCCGTATCCGTATCCATGTGACTGCCTTGATGGACTTGAGGCCACAGCGTTTCAAGCAGAAATTGACGCCGATGGAACAGCTGATGGACCTGGTGGCGCGGATGCTGCGTCGGCGCAACGTTCGGTGAGCGAACTCAATGAATTTATTGCATTATTTATGCGACAAATTATTCGCACTTGTCGCGAGGACAAAAATGTTCCTCGAGCTCGCGCGTCGAATCTGTTTGCCGAGATAAATCGGTTACAAGTGCAAACGGACGTAACGAACGGCGTTAAAAAGAGTCGGGCGAAATCTAATCTGAGACGTGACGGGGACTGAGAGAGAGCGACAAGTGACAAGTATAATTTTCTTTATTTCATTACCAACAGTATTCTTACATCATGCCGAAACAATGTATAGTGTCTATATCGTAATATATATTTATGTAATCGTTAATAATTGTAATAGCGGTAAAGAGTCAGTAGTAGGCGAGTCCGCGTAGATGTGTGAATAATCGTTACGGATAATTCGAATTCGTTTCCGGCGCGTAAGTTACAGCTGCGACGCAACGCGTCAACTGCAGCTTTGAACACTTTTCACCGAAAGTATCGATGCAACGAGTTTTACCGGTTACTTTGACCAATTACGGCCTACATCGATCATACGCTCTTAATTGTAACAAACATTTTACATGCGGCGCACGCAACGCCGGTGATGCGTAAAATTAAATAAATCAATTTGTTCAATTTTCCAGCAAATTAAACCAGTTAAATATTTGTGCATCTCGCAAATATTTTGTTGGCAAGAAGTCGGGTGAATTAAATTTTTGAATGATTTAATACACACCAGTAACTTTATTACGGCGCATTCTAATTTCATTATTCCCACTCGCCAATGCCGGTAGACTCGTGTTGGGCTTCAGATCTCGCGAAAGAGGGGGGTACACACCGAGTACAGAGCGAGTACGTGGGTCGTCACGGTAAACTACATCTTAGTGTTAATAGTAGTCTTTATTGCGAGTTGCCTAGATTGTCGTGGGGTCTCGGAACGGAAACGAATTCGGATCTATCGGTCTCCTCCGGGTCCCTCTCAGACCGTACTCTTGTGCCTTAAGTTCCTTCTACCGAGGCATAGCGACTACCGATACTACGACGAGAAAACAATTCCTTTTGCCATCACGGGGGACCCGATTAGTTCGAAGGGTCCCCGATTAATAACGTCTCGGACAGCGCGGAACGGCGCCAAGTTTTTCGACCTCTCTTTGCCCGGATCTCCTGGAACCGCTCCCAAGCGGTCCCTCCTCCTCCTCCTCGCGGACATTCTATCCCCGAAACGAACGTGTTTCGCTCTTCTGCCATGCTCGAAACACGCCACAAGCGCTCGGTAAATTCGGCCGACGTATGCGAAACGACGTGTGCAAGCGCGCACGTCAAGATTATGCGGTTCCCATTGAGGTTACCAGGCGAGAGTGTCGAAACGAGAGTACGAAAAATAGAGCGATTAGCGTTCTCTTCCAAACAACTGGACGACTGTCGCCGAGAGGATCGGCGTGACGGGCGCGGAAAGTCGGCGCTAAGTGGTCCCCCCCCGTGGCGGGGAAGTTCCTCGGTAAGCTTGGTCGGAATTCAGACGGCGGTGTCGGGTGTTTCGCGTAGTTAGTTAGGCGTTAGACGTGAATCTACGGAGGAATCACAGAAGAGAACATTCACGCGCGTTCGCCGAGCGATCCGGCGGCATGACGTTCAAGTCGCACGCCTGCATCATCCTCGATACCAGCGCGCGATTTCCGCGCTGTCCGCTTCGCGGTTAGTGTTTGCTGCTTCCTCAGCAATGATATGCATAGAAGAGCGAGGCGGGAAGCCAGAGCAAGCTGGACCCGTAGAGCCGCGTCGCCGCGTCGACCCCGTTTCTGCCGGGCCGTTTGCGCTTCGATTTCGACTTGGCGCGCCGTTTGCGCGAGTAGATCGCGTTAGTGGCGTTAGTCGGCGACTCGATATTGCAGTAGCTCTCGTCGCAACAGCTTATGCAGATCTGGAACGAAATAACCGAATTTATTTCACCCGGCTCCGTCGGTCTTTCTCTCTGTTCTTCTCTCTCTCTCTCTTTATTTATTTATTATATCGTCCTCTTCGTCACACTCCTTCGCTCTCTCTCTCTCTCTCTTTCTCTCGCTCTTTAATTTTTTTATCTTTCAAAAAACCTTCCCCGGGCACACGACAAAATTCGCTATTTCGCACCTGCTGCGTGTCCACGGGAATGCAACCGACCGACGCTGGCCCGCATTCCTCGCTGCTGGCGCAACTCTTGCTTACCTGGAACGAAAGGAAGCGAGGGTAGCGCGTGAATGAAAACGACGAAGAGATTCTGCGAGCGTGTGGATTTTCGATAGCCGCGACGGGAAGTCGCGACGAACGCTACGCGCGGTCTGCGTCATCGCCGGGTGCGCGGCTGAATAATTTCGGAGCGATTAGCGCGAGAGACGGCACGAAGGTGGAACCTCGCTCCATCGACATTTATGTCCCCCGACGCGCTCGAGCTGTTAATCCCGCGCGAATTAGGTGGATGGAAGTAACATATTAATTAAACGGTTAGTTCTGTCATCGGTAATGCGCGGCATTAAATTATCGTGCATTATCGCCATCAAACGTCGGAACGCAGAAAGTTCCATCAAAGTTCATCCGCTGGTACACCGACTGGACTCGAGAAGAGCGCTTAAGCTCGAGAGGGCCATCCATCTCGGCGTCCAGGCTCGAATCCGTTCGCGTAACTTCGTTCATTAATAGCCCGAAAATCGATTATACCCCTAATGTAAGTCAATTAGCCAAATACGATAACCTTTAATTGATTTTATCCGAACGTGCGTGCGCCATGCTCGGCGTTAATGGAATTTACTCCGTACGGGAGAGTCGATCGTTTGTTATTGTTAGTTCGCTCTTCTTTTTTTTTATGTTTGCTTTTTTTTGCGTATTGTTTTCGTTGCTGTCTCGTGCCGAGAGTGCGATTTTCATTTGCTCGCGCAAGGCAACTGGCACTCTCCCTCCGACCTGGTCAGCCGGAGACATCAAAATACATCAGAGAAAACGCTGGGGGGGAAAAGTTTCGCGATAGTAGAAACGGAAGAAAAATTTAGGAGCGATTTTAAATTCGAAAGTTTCCTGCCGCGCGCGCGAAGAGAACAAATACCTACTTATGAAGTTTTTAATATCGTATAACTTCTTCTCAAATGTCCCTTCGTGTATCTTACAGTCCCGGCGATATTCTTTAGAATGAAATACGAGTCAGGGGCTTACCAGCCCTAAATGCACGATAAGGCGCGTATAAAAACATAGCTATCTCTTATTTTGAACCGGTCGACGATATATTCGAAATTATAAAAATCGGAGGGGGTGGACAGTTACGAGCGCGCCTCCTCGCATAGTGATATCGCGAAAGCGAACAAGTGGGGGGGAAAAAAGGAAGTTTTCTTGCCAAGACGCTGTTCCCTCGGCTGTCCAGAACGTGCAGCGATCGGCAGAAATCACGGCCGCCCGCCGGACACGGTGTATCTATCGCCCATTCGTTGCACATCTGCAAGCATAGAAACGGGAACATCCTCGATGCAAATTCCACGTATAAAGATCAGTTTCTTATATTGGCAATATCGACCGCGTGTGCGTCCCCCCCCCCCCCCCNCGCAAAAAACGAAATGACGTCGGCACAACAAGGCGCACAACTGCGAATATGCAAAATGAAATATTTATTCCCCTGGGCGCGGGCGCGCGCGTGCACGTTATTACATTCATTTTAATCGGAGCAATTACGCGGTTATATATATTTCACAAAAAGCCGAGGCTAACGGAGCGTTATTTATTTTACTGAAATTTCGTCAATTTCCTGCGGGTAATCGCGAATTTATGGACGGCGCGATAAACGGGGCGCGTTTTCGCAAAGAAAAAGGGCGTAAGCGGAAAAAGCGGGGTCGGAGATAAGACGGTTACCGCGCGAGAGAGAAGAAGCGGGACGCAATAAGGGGAGTTTAGAATAAACCAAAATCGATGGCGGAACGATCTGCAGGCTTCTGCGAAATTGTGACCGGACTCGGCGCGATAGAGCCATTACGGACTCTTAAGGGAGCGTTTAATGGACTCGTCGATACCTGGTTATCGCTGACGTTGACGCAAGTGTAGCACGTTAGACCTGCAACAGAGAGAGGTGTACTAAGTAAGTGCGTCGCCGGGACAATCAGGACGACAGAGGGGGGGGAAGGAGGGGAAGGAAGGTGTTGAAGACGCGAGTGGGTAGCTCTTAATTGCAGCTGTCGTCGCGCCCGTGAGAGATACGGAAATTCTATTTGGAGAAAGAAAATTAAAGGGAACATACATCCGAAGATTAAGCGAGTTTAGCTGTCTAGCCGTCGAAAAGTTAACAAGCCGGTCTAAGTTTAAACAAGCCGACTTCCAAGGTGGGACTTCGCGCGGACTCGCCCGGGACGATGTGTCTTATGCAAAACTTAGATTCGCGGGCGCAAACTTACGCCGTGATTTTACCGTTCGCGATCGAGGAAGTCCCCTTCGGTGCGGCTGGCGAACGCGCGTCGCGGGTGTACAAGGACCACGACGGCGTCATTGATGGGAAAGGTTGCGATACGTGTGCGAAGTTGGTAGGAAGGATAAGTTCGGAGATTAGTGGCGTTCGATTGCAGGATCGGCCAGCCGGGATAAACTCGAGTTAGCCGAGTAAATCATGGTCCCGTTCGACTCTTTTCTCCTCTTCCACCTCCCCCCTCCCCCCCCCCCCC